TTTAGCTTCAAAATGCACAGGCCAATATTAAATATGGTATAGTAAACTTACACAAAGCCAAGTGCAGTTTACTTTTTCCAGTAGGCCACGCTAGTACTTACAGATTTATTAGATCAGGCTGTTAAAATCTGAAATTTGTCTGTTTTTTTTTCCTTGTTTCATATGTTTAAGAAAACCGGAGATCCACTGCTTTTTGACAGCTCTGAGAAGCAGCTTTTGCCTTTGCCTTTTCAGTACCGATTACTTACACATCATCAGAAAGTATACGGATCTAGATCTGGCAGTCACAGGTTTACACAAAGTGCAGCTTTTTACCTGCAAAAACATCATTTGTTGAGAAGGGATTTGGGTATTTTTCACTTTTTGATGGTCTATGATTATAAGTGCAGTTTAGTTGAGAAGAGTGAGTCAGAAAGGAAGAGCTGCTTAATTGATTTGTTTTGCTGCCTGCAGAACATGCCATGTGGTTACGTAAGATCTCAAAAGAGATCAGGCTTCAGCAAGAAAGGTGAAGAGCAATTTTCTACCTCCTATCTCAGCTTTGTTTCCAGTTGGCTGAACAATAGATGGAGGATGCACTTAACTGTTCAATTGTAAATGGTGGTTAATTTTTAGATGTCTACATGCTGCACTGCACGGTTGGGAAGGAAACATTTGCTGGTGATAGGAAACTAAAACGGCTCCTCACAACCTAGGCTGAAAATTCATATTGCCTATCTAAAGATGAGAGACTACAAGTTATCTCCAAGCTGTAATCCTATTACTCTGGAGCAGTGGCTCTGCTCTCCCTGCCTTCCCATGGCTGGGAATATGCAGCTTCTTGGCTGGGTGCCCAGGCAGTAAACCTGCCTTTTAATATTCTGTTATCAGCCTCTTCACAAAGCTTCTGGCTCTGGAACTTGTATGTGGTTATATGATACTGTATTAAACCCCAGCACTGATAGGGAGGAGTTGCTAATTTCACATGCTCACGGATCCTAGTCTTGTGTAGGATGGTTATTCTTCTTTCTTGTACTGATACGTTTTCAAATTTTTATGGTTTTGTGCATTAGGTATTGCCATTTTAGTGTGAGGGATTTAGGTTCACAGAAGAAAAACAGTCTGCAAGTTTTAATTTACAAGATCATATTTATTCTATGCAAAACTGCAGCCCATCTTTCTAAAAGGACTTTATCTTGGGAGAATAAGAGTATCTGTGTTTTCTACTAATGAGACTATGCCATCCATTGCTAGAACCATGCTGTAACATACAGTTTGCTATTCAGTTGTGCATGCTGTCTCTCTGTAAGTTAACATTTCTGCAGTAACCTTAAATATATAATGCAAATAGAAGTTTTGGTGGAAGGATTACCATATTTGTTGTTGCATATAAAAGTTAATAATAGCTATGTCATATTCCATTAGTCAGGTCTTGGGGGAATGAGTTACTCCAGTTTTCAGCAACTATGTATAAATCTTTTTAAAAGATCAAATTTTGCTAATGCAGAGAAGGAAAAGCTTAGTCCCCCTTTCTTTCCTGTTTCTACATAAGGCAGGATTGAACATTGAAGGTGCCAGTTTGGATTTCTTAGTTTAGGACTGAAGCTTAAATGACATGTCACGGAAGCAGAATCAAATGTATTTAAGCAAGGCATTTGGAATAACTTGAATTGGTAGTTGAAAGCTGAAATATAGGAAGAAACTACTGGGTTCCTGATACAGGACATACTTTGAAAGAGCAGAACCTCTGAGTAGCATAAGTTTTTATTTGTCTTTAAATGTTCATGTACCCAAATGCAAAATGAGTATATGCAAATCAAGACTGCATCTACACAGTCATTGTTGCTCCTGCCCTGACCTTTGGAGAATGTTATGTGGCAGAAGAAGGACTTCAGCCAAAGTCTAGAAAAAACAAACATGCCCACGAAAAGCTGTAAATGCTTTTTGTTCCTCTTAATCCAGAGGGTTTTTTTTGTTTTTTTTTCATACGATATAGTGCTGCATAAATCCTGTGCATGAGCAGTAAAAAACCTCTCCTACCAATTCAGAAGAGCATATTTCTTACATACTTCTTACAGTAAGCTGCGTAGATAGTATTTATTAGAGTGCACTGCTGGGTGGAGATGGGTAATGTCTTATTCAAAAAGAACTTTAAAAATCATGTTTAAAATATATAAAGATTTTTTATTATTATTATTTTCAGGTGTAATTTGATGCATGCTTAAAATGTTTGGTCAGGCCTCAGAAATACCCAGTGGAAATATTCTACTTATAAAGCTTTTTTCTTTTGCGATCTTAAAAAAAAGTCTGGATCTAGACCTACAAAATTTTACTATCTCAAGTCGGAACAAAGGCAAACATTTGTTTTGTTTATAATTGTTAAGATATCCATAAAGATAATCATACCAACTCTGTAATCACTTCTGGTTTGTAAATGAAGTGTTTTAATAGAGCTACCACAAGGAGAAAATAAAAGAAGCTTGCGCAAAGCAGATTTCTAGTTACTTCAAGCAAAAGGATCTGGGAAAAATCAAGATACAAAGTACTCTGTCAATAGGAAAAAAAAACCAAAATATGCTGTAAATGCAACAAACTACCTAGCAAGTAGTTTACCAATGCTTCTTTCTGTCAGGTGAAGCTGAATGTGAAAAACAGTAAGATCTGTTACTGTCACCTGGCATAGACTTTAAAAATAGTTTTATTTAAACAAAGTATTACTACCATTATATGGTTTACATGTAAATATGTGTAAAGATTAATTTCGGATTTTTTCCCCTCTAAGTGTCCTTCTAAGGTACAGTGGAGTGTGTGGCTGTAAAAATGTGACTTTTCACTTAATATTTGAGTTGCCTAGAAAGGTATTTTAACAACCATTTTCTGTACATGTAAAGCTACCAAGTCTAATTCTCTTGTGGAACCAGACGTGTTTTACCTTTCATGTTTAATTTACAGTGCAGCTCTGGAATAGGAAGGTTGGTCTTACATTCTTGCTACAAGGCATGAAACCAAAACAAATTAAGTTTGTGTTGTGAAGCAGACTTTTTTCTTATTAGGATGTGTGTTGGATTAGAATGTTTGATTATTAGAATATGTGCTGGAAAACAACAGACTATTATTGTTTTCAAACAATAATATTACATGGATCCTGTACCTCTGTTGTTAAAAATGAGAGGGCAAATATTGAGGTTGAGAAGATGGTTGTTTGTTTTTTTTTTTGTTTTGGAAAGAATATCAAGATAAAAATGAATGTTACAGAAAACATTTACCCTCAGCATATGATGAATCAGCCAGGACTATACTTATAACTGGTACTGTTGCTTTACTGAATGTTATCATAACTGTTTATCTTAAATCTTTTATTCTCTTTTGCCACATTCAGGAAATTATTTATGGCTGTGAAAGTAATAAAGTATAGATCTTGGAAGTCATTCAGAAGAATTCTTACTTGCTGTCTGTCATCGGCTTTAGTCTGATAATGAGATTAAGTGACAAAAGTCAGGTTTGGGGATTCTTGCTGTGTCCTGTCCTGGATTCATCTCAACTAGGTTTGCCCCGTGGGTTGCACCAGCAGTCCCAGCAGAGAGACAGGATGAGCCAGCTTTTGATGCTTTACATCAGGAGTCAGAATTGCCCCTGCAGGTTCTTGTCTCTTGCTGCTTTGGAGAGAGCATATGTCCCTACTTCTCACTGAATTTAATTTGAATGTCAAAAGCTAGGTGAAGTAAATCCAGGCCTTTTCTTCCAGGTCTTTATAAATGGTGAAGTCAGCCTCAGTCTTACAACTTCATTAATTCAGAGGCAAAAGGTGACCACTTTTCAGACTGGAATTGCTTTGACAAACTAATGTTTTTATGATGGCTTGAGAAAAATACACTTTCTTGTTTAAAGTTTACTTAATTCCAAGTTGTTACAGTATTCCTTCAAGCATAACTTGCAGTAAAATTATTAGAAAGTGTGTATAATTTTGTGTGTGTATGTACACATACAGGCTAGGTGTTTGATATTTGCTTTATGGCCCACATATTTAAAAGGAAAACATAATCTCACCTTGCCTAGTTTTGCTGGATTAGTGTCTCAGCAATATTCTGTGAGTAAGTCTTCAGAGCAACCGGTTTCTGAATTTTTTGCTATTTAAATAATAGTCACCCTAGTTGTTTGTGTGTTCTTAGGTTTAAAAAAAGCCAAGACTATTTAAATGCATAGTAGAAATGCCTGGGTTTGTTTTGTTTAGCTTGGATTTTTTATCCCCTTGGGTACCTGTTTTGTTTTCCTCCTGCCTCTTACTTGTTCTCCCATTGAATTTATCACTACACAAGTTCTAGTTCTCCCAAGTCCTGACGTGCGGAGTAATAGAGGCAGGCAGCATTTTCAGTGTGGCTAACTTCAATGAGTAGCCATCTGTGGAAGTCCTTCTGAACTTCTGAAGCAAAGAGAGCAAAATGCCCAGACAAGTTAATGATGGCTTGGCAGCTTTGTAATGTGGGAGCTTGAATACAGCCCCTGGATGAAGAGCCTAACCTACTGATTACTGGTAGAGGAGCTGCATTTCTCTGTGGCTTTGCGAACAGCTGTGCTGCCCCAGCGTGGGGATCCTCAGAAGGGCAAGAATGTGCACTCAGAAATGAGAGAGAGGGTGGTAGGATAGATGCTTCATGCTCTTGCCAAGTATTAATAGGTAGTTTTTTGAGGAGCAACACAAAACTTTTATCTTTAGAGTACAAAATAGTAACAACCCTCAGCTGTTAACTGCGTGATGGTTTGAGGAATGTGATGAGAATTATTTTTATATTCCTGGCTCTCATTGTTTCTTGACCATGAGAAAAGTTACTAAACCTCTTTTCTGCTAGACTTTATCTAGTCTTTAATATGCAGGTCTTCTCTTTTTGTAGAGAATCAAACTAAAGGTAGGAAAGCAGTACAGAACTATCCAGAGAGGGGTTTTTGTTGTTTATTTTTGGTTTATTCCTGCTGACAGTTATCTGGTGAAATTCACACGTGTACATTTGCTGTGACTTTTGTAGGCTCAGAACAAAGAAACGAAAGTTCTGGCTGCTGCGAAGGTGATTGATACTAAATCAGAAGAAGAACTTGAAGATTACATGGTTGAGATTGATATATTAGCATCCTGCGATCATCCTAATATTGTTAAGCTCCTAGATGCTTTCTACTATGAAAACAATCTGTGGGTAGGTATTATTTCTTCTATTTACTTACTTCAAAAGTAAATTCTACAAAAGTAAAAAGCATATTTTTCTTCATTTAAAGATCATTTGTCCATCACATCTTTTTTGGGTTGTCGCTGTTGGGATAACTGTTCAGCTTCAAAACAAATTTATAAATCATGGGTATGACTTCTAGGAAATTGTCAAATTGAGCTACACTGAGTCATTTGGTCAGGAGTTTGAATCTACAGTTTGGAAGTTTGTGCATTTTGGTATGTGGAGAGAGTTCTTAATGCTTATTTGTAGCGGCAGGACTCAGATTGTAATTACATGAGCACAATTTAGGGTGAGATTTCAGAATCTGCAGCTGAAAAATAAATAATATGCTGAAAAGGTCAGCCTGTGAAGTAGGTATTTTAGAATGAGCCTATTGATACTTCCAGGAAGGACAGTTTACTAAGACTTGGATCATAATTAATTTACTTAAAACCTTTATATCTAGTAGGGAGCATACATATGATTATACATCACTTTTCTGCTGTATCTTATGCATTGAACAGCTTTAAGTATGAAAATACAATTTTTTTTCTTCCAGGCAATGCAGTGTAATATTTCAAGTGCTTTTGGAACTGTACAGAGAATACATGGGTTTTTTTAAGAGTTTATAATTTGAAAAGATACCTAAAACAAGTAAATCTCCTTCGAGTCTTACAAACATGCATTATCCTTTAAGCACAAAAATATTAGAAGTGTAATAGCATGTTTCCTGATGTAGATTTATTTTGATAAGCTTTGTGAAAACCTTGTGTGATCTGAGTGCAGAGTAATTCAGATTGTGTATAATGATACTGTATAAAACAGTGGATTACTGAAAAGATTCCCATGCATATAGGTCAGCATGAAAGCGGGTGGGCATAGGGGCAGAATATGAAACTGAGTTGATAGGCTTCACTAGCAGAATAAAGGTAGAAGAGGAGTAAATAGTTTGAAATTAAAATTGTAGCTATATAGTTACAGTGAGGTGCAGAGACAAGGAAGGGCCAAAGGTAAGGCTATAATGATGTGGTAAGTAAACGGAATTTAGTGGAGGAAAAAAGAAAAGAATGATAGTTGGCAAAAGAATATGCTTTTGCTTTCCAGTTTTAGAAACAATTTCTGTACCATGGAGACCTTTGTCAGGTTGTCAAACCAAACAGCAGATTTTAGAGAGAGAAATTCTGTATTTACAAATTCCTACACTTAAACTACTTGGCAGTAAGTATGTAGAAGCATGAAAATGGAATAATGGTTTAAGGGATTTACGAAGTGTTGCATTATGTATTTGTTAGTACCATTGTAAGGATTAATTATAATACCAATTTGAAGTAATATTTAATATAGGTGGTGTATATATAGAGAAAAAGCATTATGGTACAAGGTAAAAGGTATAATTTGAGTTTTCCTCTTTTATGGGAAAGTTTTCCTGCTTTTAAAAGTACTCTAAATGAAAAAGTTAATGTATTTCCCAGAATATTGACCATTAGGATTCTGACAAGGAATACTCATTAGCTGTTGGACTGAAAAGTGTCTTTGAATGCTTAAAGTTCAATTTAAAGAAGAAAAAACACATAAGGGTGTCAGTCCTGGATGACCTTTCCTCTTTCTTGCTCTCCTCATTCTCTTTGTGTACTTTTTTCTCCTTTGTCTATGTTCTTTCTGTCCTACATGTCAGCATAGTTTGTGCCCCAAAATAGTTGCAGTTTATTTTTGTTTCAAATGGAAACTGAAAACTGAAGATGGAGTTCTAGTATTATTAGATATTGTAGGCATCAATGAAAATGGAGGAAGATTCATGTAAGCGTCTGAATGTAACCATTTTCTGTTAACTTTTAAGAGTATTTTTCCCTATTTTCATCTCATTTGAAAAAATACAGGTGATATCTGCTACTGGGAAATCATACGGCTCTTGTTCTTGACCTTCAGTCAGATTATAATACAGAAATACAGTTGAATAATTAAGAACTGAGTTTGTAGGGATTGTGTAAATCACATTAAAGTGAGTCAGGTAGAAGCTGACTGTTTTATTATAAATTTTATTATGGAATTTTATATTTTGATTAAAACTTTTGTCTGAGCATCCTCAAGCATTTTTCAAATCATTTGCTTGAGCAACATAAGCCCTACTTTTAGCTGGGTAACAGTTACTATTGGGTAACCAATATTTTGCTGAGGTTAGGTAAATAATTTGTAAAGGCCAAATAGTCTGAAATTCTGGTCTTCCAGTAATGCTCCCATAATCAAGGTTCAGCTCAGCAGAACTATTTAATTTGTAATTTGTGTATTCTTTTGTTTGTATACAGATCCTGATCGAATTTTGTGCAGGTGGAGCAGTAGATGCAGTAATGTTGGGTAAATAAGTTGTTTCAAATAATAAACTTCATAACATCTTAAAATTATAATATATATTGTAAGACTTGTTTCATATGTATATTGTTTTGAAATGCAAATATTTATGTAATTGGTGTGCTCTGTGTCGAATGTCGGGGGTTTTAAATTAGGATTTACACCTCTCTCTGTGGACATTATAGTTAAATTAATTTTCTCTCATCTTTAAAGTATTCATTTACATTTCAAAACACATTTTTGTCTTGACCCTTTAATGAATGTGATGAGTTGTCCTCATATGCTTATTGAGCTCTCTGTTGTGAGCCCTTTTCAGGACCTCATTCTTTCCCTGCCATCTTCCAAATTACATTATGATATTTTTTGCACATTGCATAAACCTTAAAGTTAGATTTTTCTGTGTTTATTCCTCAATTAGGTGAATGTAATGAGTAAAGGATCTAGTCTTTAACATTTCTGTGTACCACACAAAAGAACCAGTCTCTAAACTATATAGCCTTTTCGCAGTTCAGATAGGTAGGTATGCCACGTTCATAATGAGGAGGGGTTTGGGTACAAGGGATGACATTATTAATGAAAGGAGCAAGTATGTTAAGGTAGAAATTTTTATGACATATGATATTAAGGATCTGTCAGATTAATTAATTTTCACAGATACTTCTATACAGCTTGCTATGAACACATAAAACACAAAAATGTTGTGCTTATTTCTGTCTCTTTCTCCTGTAGAGCTTGAAAGGCCATTAACAGAGCCGCAGATCAAAGTGGTGTGCAGGCAGACACTGGAAGCATTGAACTACTTGCATGAAAATAAGATCATCCACAGAGATCTAAAAGCTGGCAATATTCTTTTCACATTAGATGGAGACATTAAACTAGGTAAACATCCTGCATATAAAAGTCTTTCCCAGAACTTCGCATGGTCTTATAATTGTATTTTCCTTCGGCTGTAGCTTGGCAGAATTCAGTATTTATCTATTTAAATATCAGTCTAATAAGGAGAGTGTTTTCGGATGCAAGGTTCGCTACAAAAAAAAAGTAAAGCTTGAGTAAATGCCATAACCATACTTGACATATCTTTCAGATTTAAAAATCAGCAGGGGTAGGACTCATACCAATATCTGTACTAAGCTGGCTAAAGTCAGACACAGGCCCAACTGTTTCTTAGTATGTGTTCTTAATTGTATTTATCTTTACTGTGGTAACATCAGAACTTCCCTTTGAAGTCGCTAGTTTAGAAAATGAACATCGCTCAGTATCACCAAAACCCAGTACCTAGTACTGTTATCTCTTCTATTATTGAGAAAGAAGTAATAATCTTATGTACTCAATTTAGGCTTTTTCATGCCTTTCTTAATTGTTCATTGCACTGAAATTAAGATAAAACAGTCTGGAAGAAAATTGATACATGCTTACTATTATTGATTTTTTTATATATATATATATATATTTTACCTGAATTTAAGCATTCATTCATGTTTTCCTTCTGATGTGGTAGGGAATCCATGAGGATTCCTCCATGAAGAACTGACAAAGGACTATTGCTGTTGAATAGCACCCCTTCAGCCAGCCAGGAAGTCATAGGAACTGTCTACATTCACTTTGTTAGGGCTTCATCAGGGGCAAACGTGCATAAGCTGTCAGCCTTTACAGTGGCTTTACCACTGTCATAATTCCTTGACATAGCAGCTTGCGTTCAGGTTTCAGACATGTTTCTCTACATGTTTAGCTGTGTTTATTTGGATACAAGTTACACAGAGGGTAAAGTCAAAGAGAATCAGAAGATCACGGTGAAGTGGGGCTCTACATTTCCCAGCCTTGCTGCATACATTCCTTTTAAGTGTAAGCAAGATGTGTCCAAATTCATAAATATAACTGCTGCGTAACTTGTATTGATCACAGTCTCTCTGTGGGGTATAGTGCATCATCTCTCTTAAGAAGTTCAGAATATTTAAGAACCTGCTTTTGCTACATTGATCAGTTAAGTGAATCTCTGCAGTTTGCGTGGATTCCCTTGCAGATCATTACTTGTACGTTAATACTTGAATGTACCTTTCTCTTCATCCACAAAGTACATGTAACTTTACAGGTTACAGGTTTTCTTGGAAGCCTGAAAATTTAGTGATGGACTCAGTCTCATAGGCCTTTTTTATAAAAGTGATAGAACCACTATCTTAGTACTACTGTAAAAGAAATCTCAGATCTTAGTAAGAGTCTCATGGTCAGAGAGAGAAACATTTGTTTCTGTGCATTTTATTTGCCTCACATGACTTGGCTCCTCATACAGGCTGGAACTATTTTAAGATTTTGTCAAGCTTGGTTAATGCACAGCACTGTGCAGGCTGTCAGGATACTTCACAGTTCAGATCATGGGGAGATTTCTTTCACACATACATTTAATAACGTATTAGGTTTGTTAATTAAGTTTTCTAAAAAAGGATGTATTTTAGTTTTGGAAAATAAAGCATCCCTTAAATGAGCATTTTACTCCTTATAAACGATTTGTATTTTGATTCTGACACACACAGGAATGGATAATTCCTTCTTTTACAAATACAAATAATATTTATAAAACAAAGGTAGATAAATCTGAACTTGCACAAGTCCATGGGTCCTGACGAGATCCATCTGTGGGTCCTGAAGGAGCTGGCAAATGAAGTTGCGAAGCTGCTGGCCATCGTATTTGAGAAATCATGGCAGTCAGGTGAAGTTCCCGATGACTGGAAAAAGGGAAATGTAACCCCCATTTTCAAGAAGGGGAAAATGGATGACCTGGGGAATTACAGACCAGTCAGTCTCACCTCTGTGCCTGGCAAAATCTTGGAGCAGATTCTCTTGGAAGGCATGCTAAGGCACATGAAAAACAACAAGGTGCTTGGTGACAGCCAGCATGGCTTCACTAAGGGGAAATCCTGCCTGACCAATTTGGTGGCCTTCTATGATGGGGCTACAGAACTGATGGACAGGGGTAGAGCAGTTGATGTCATCTACCTGGACTTGTGTAAAGCGTTCGACACTGTCCCACATGACATCCTTGTCTCTAAATTGGAGTGACATCAATTTGATGGATGGAGCACTTGGAGGATAAAGAACTGGCTGGATGGTCGCACGCAAAGAGTTGTGGTCAATGGCTCAATGTCCGGCTGGAGACCAGTGGTGTCCCTCAGGGATCGGTGTTGGGACTGGTCTTGTTTAACATCTTTGTCAGTGACATGGACAGTGGGATTGAGTGCGCCCTAAGCAAGTTTGCCGATGACACCAAGCTGTGTGGTTCGGTTGATACCCTGGAGGGAAGGAATGGCATCCAGAGGGACCTTGACACGCTTGTGAGGTGGGCTGATGCCAACCTCATGAAGTTTAACCATGCCAAGTGCAAGGTCCTACACCTGGGTCGGAGCAATCCCAGGCACAGCTACAGGTTGGGCAGAGAAGAGATTCAAAGCAGCCCTGCGGAGAAGGACTTGGGGGTGTTGATAGATGAGAAAATGAACATGAGCTGGCAGTGTGCGATTGCAGCCCAGAGAGCCAACCATATCCCTGGCTGAATCAAAAGGAGCATGACCAGCAGGTTGAAGGAGGTGATCCTGCCCCTCTGCTCTGCTCTTGTGAGACCTCACCTGGAGTATTGTGTGCAGTTCTGGTGTCCTCAACATAAAAAGGACATGGAACTGTTGGAACAAGTCCAGAGAAGGGCCACGAGGATGATCAGGCGACTGGAGCACCTCCCGTATGAAGACAGGGACTGTAGTGACAGGACAAGGGGTAATGGGTTAAAACTTAAACAGGGGAAGTTTAGGTTGCTTGTAAGAAGGAAATTCTTTCCTGTGAGGGTGGTGAGGCACTGAAATTTGTTGCCCAGGGAAGTTGTGAATGCTCCATCCCTGGCAGTGTTCAAGACCAGGTTGTACGAGGCCTTGGGTGATATGATTTAGCGTAAGGTGTCCCTGCCCATGGCAGGTGGGTTGGAACTAGATGATCTTAAGGTCCTTTCCAACCCTAATGATTCTATGATTCTCTGAAATTTCCTTCATTGCATTTATTTGTGTAAGGATTTGAGTTTTATTATTTTTGTGTCTGTAGTCCCTCATGGTTTCAGATTTAGCATTTGGACAGATAGCTGTCTTAGGCCTTTTTTCTTCCCCACAGAGTGAAATTAGGCTTCGGAAATGTTGAGTTCATCAAGTAATTTTGTACAGATTGTACAGGGGTTTTGTGCAGATTGAAGACATGTGGCTGTCTTGTCCATTTGCTCTGCTCTCTAGGTCTTCATTAAGAAAGTTACATCTATAGTAAGCATATAACACTTATTTCAAAGTTGTCCTTTTTTTCTAAGTGAGAAACGTAGTGCTTCATAGACAAGTAATATTAATTGCAAAGGCAAAGTTGATTTTTGATTGGATGTTACATCTTATCCCACACAGCTCAACAGTAGCATTACATTTTATTATAGCAATGGAGAATAACATTATCGTTATTATTATTCAATATCTTTTATTAGAAATGCTATGGAATGTTTGCGCTCAATTATCAAAACGTACATTTTTGCTCTGAAACATAAAATGTTAAAAAAATAGTTGTAAAACATAAAAATATATTTTCCACCACCCATTTAATAGCATTTTACTGTTTGCTTTAAGCGGATTTTGGAGTATCGGCTAAAAACACAAGAACAGTACAAAGAAGAGATTCTTTTATTGGTACACCATATTGGTAAGTGCGTTGTTTTGCTGACTTTGAAGTACTAATATCTTAGTATTTCCTTTGCTGTTACTACTACAAGCTTCATACAATATTGTGTAAATATATTTAGTGAAAATAGAATGTGCTTCTTAAAATGTTTCAGTGAATTTATCTATTTAGAACCTTGGTTTGGGGTTTTTTTTCAGAATTGATAAAAAGTGTATTTTCTAATGCAGTATTTCATTACTCTCTTTGCAGGATGGCTCCAGAAGTAGTAATGTGCGAGACCTCTAAAGACAGGCCTTATGATTACAAGGCTGATATTTGGTCTCTTGGCATTACTTTAATAGAAATGGCTCAAATAGAGCCACCTCATCATGAATTAAATCCAATGCGAGTGCTTCTGAAAATAGCAAAATCCGATCCACCTACATTAGCACAGCCTTCAAAATGGTGAGTGTTCTATTTACAACTTTCTCAGCCCAATTTGTAGATTTTGAATACAAGGCATGCTAAGTCGTTTATTTGATTAACTTAATGTTCATGGGCATAGACCTGTTGAACTTTATGGGACTAGCTTAATGCATAAAGTCAGGTACTTATTCTGTCAATGTTTGTACATGTATGTATACAAATTGTATAAGGAGATACGTAGATGGACTGTGGTCTTTTTGTTGTAGTTCTGTATAGAAGCTTTTATTTCTAATATTTGGCAGATTTAGCATTAAAATATGCACAAAATAGCTTTTACAAATGCAGGAAAAGATCTGAAGACCATCTGAAAAACAAGATCAGATGAATGGAGACTAAAGTATTTATTTTTATACTAAGAAAACATTTTTAGAAGCCATATACTATTTGATCATTTTTAATATCTTTATGTGATTCAGTGGTGCAGCAGATGTGTTGTATTATCAATCCAGAGCCAAATGTAAACTCTTCTATCAATGGACAAAACATTTTAAAGATTGTATTTGTGCCACATTGGTCTTTGCATTCGTGTACTACCTTTCTGTTGTCCTAAATCACTAGAAGGACCTGGAGCTGCAGCGTTAGGTGCATGTGAAAGCAAAAGAATATTTCACTGTACCACAAGACAAAAGAAGAACCCCTGCCTGTTTGCTTTTTTTTGTGTAGGTCATCAGATTTTAAAGATTTTCTGAAGAAATGTTTGGAAAAGAATGTAGATGCAAGGTGGAGTGCGACTCAACTTCTGCAGGTAGGGAGAGTTGGATTGTTCAGCACCAGTCTTTGAAAGCAAGGAGATTTTGTACTTTTTTTAAAGCTGAACAGTGTTATACTCTATAAATAATTTCAGGTTAATTGTTCAGACACAATATGGTTTTAAAATTGTTGCATTGATCCTTATTTTGTAAAATTTGATTAAATGATACCAAGTGCAGATCAAATTCGGCATTGACATATTCGTATGTAATTTAATTATTCCGCATAAGTATTTATACTTTGATACTTATAATGGAGGAAGGAGGTATTTACATAAGTAGTCCATTGCTGACAGGTGTTTTAAAAGCTTTAGTCCTCAGCCTTCCTCTGTAATGCTGTCACTGCAGAATAGCTAAGCAGGAATAGATGTGACCAGGTACATTTGATTCTGTCAGCACGAATTTACTTTATCCAGTTTACATCCGGCATATCTTGAATAGATTTAAGCAGCAGGGCCAAGCAGAGAAAGAAGATTCAGACAATGGGAGAAGAACAAGTAGCTGTTTCGTCTTAAAGAAAAATACTGAATTCTATTTTTTGAGAGGAAAAATTGTTCTAAAAACAAAGCAGAATATTTCTAGATAAAGCTTATCAGGAAATAATTTAACTCTGGAACAGAAAAGAAATGAAACTTGTTTCCAGGAAAAATAAGCTTTTAAAAAATCTTTCTACTTCTATTCTTGGGATTGTGAAGCAGGTCAGTACAAATGAATTATCTGTATTTTTAGCAAGTTTGTTAGACTTACACGGTATATTTGAATACAAATGTTTTGATTTTAAAACTTCTGCAGAAAAAATACATCAGGACAGTTATGATTAATGCTAACTCTGAACCTTCCAGTTTGAAGGAAACAAAGTAACGTCTCTCTGAAGTAATCTTTCTTTCAAGTTGCAATTTTCCCCTGTTTACAATGAAGTCAGCATGTAATATTATTCTTATTTTTTATTTTCACAAGCATCCATTTGTTACTGTTACTTCAAATAAACCAATAAGAGAACTGATTGCAGAAGCTAAGGCTGAAGTTACAGAAGAAGTCGAAGATGGTAAAGATGAGGATGAAGAAGAAGAAACAGAAAATTCTCTGGTCAGTTAAAAATTTACTTTTTTAAATATGCAACTATTTTCAATCACTGGTTTCCAATGCAGAGCTCAGTTTCTGATGTACTACCCAACTTTTGCATCAGGTCTTTTAAGAATAACAACATAAACATACTCAACCTTACTATAAAGTAAGTAATTGGCATTTTCAAAATTACCATGTTCTTAAACTCCTTAGGAACTAATAATAAAGAATATTTGCTAATAAAGACTGTTATCTTCACTTATTTTTACATGTGTATGTAGTATAGAATTTTAAAACTCAGATACTGAGTTTTATGTAAATGGTTTTAAGTCAAAATGACTAGATGAAAAGATAAACATGTATTTGTATTCCATAAGAAGCTTAAAACATTAAGGTGGGTATGCGACTGTTATGCTATAAACTGTCAAAGAAAAGAAAAAAAAAGCAAAAGCCTCATATTTTACCAAGGTGTGATTGCATTTATGAATGTATTTCTAAAGATTCTTAAAACACAAATTCAGTTCCTCAAAGGGCAAAGCCATGAAGTTCAGTGGTAGGGCAGCAGGTTTCAGAGTATGCAGGTACTGTGCTTTCTGACTTAACTGGCTCAAGCACTATAAACATGGACCGTGACCAGTGCCACCACTAGCTGCAATTACCTGCAATGGTAAAGGAGCCAAATGCATGTGCACAAGAACCACGCCTCCATTTCCTTCTTGCCTCTCACCACACTAGTCACATCTCCTGGCTGCTTTCCGGGTCCACCCCAACAGGTCTCCAAGCATTCATTCCCACCAGCTTCCTCCATGACTTATTTTCTATTTCCTAAGGCATTACCCACCTGCTGATTAGCTGCTAAGCCATCAGTTCCCAGGAGGGCTGGGAATGTTGTCCACCCTGTGACTCAATGAAGTGTCTCAACACAATCAGCAGTTTAGGAAACTGTGAGGTAGATGCATTTATGTTATTTACTTGTGGTAGTTTTAAAATCTGCTTCAAGATCAGCACTAAGCTTCTAGAACAATCACATGAAATCTTTGAAATGTGCTTTTCAATTCAAAGGAATTGGGTTTTGTTTGCTGCAGAAAACCCTAAAGTAGGAAAAGCACAATGAAACTCATGCTTGTTACAATAGCTAACCCAGTATGTTCCCAATGGCAAGTCAGAAGGCTGATCTGCAAATTACAGGGTTTTAACAGTAAATATAGACAGAGAGATACTGCAATCACTTTGAAGAGTGAAAGGGCAATTATGGTTAAAATGGTACTTTATTAGTATATTCTTTTGTAGATCTGTGTGCAATCTGATAACATTCACTTGTGTTCTAGAAGCAGCAATTTCTACAGTGATGTAACTGTTTCTATTCTAGTTTCATATTGCCACTTAATCAGATCTTCTGGAGGTTTTCACTGTTTCAATGGAGTTTCACAGTGATTAAAAAACAGATAAAATTTCAGGCATTCTTAACACAGAGCACAAGGAAAGATACTCTTTTTTGATGAGGAAGGTCTTTAATCTTGCATTTCATCAGTGCTGCACTAACTAAAGCTACACACACAGCTTCTTCCTAATCAAACTGGCACAGACACGTGACTTTCAAATCCAATTGTGGCTGGGACTATAGGGGAACTGAACCAGGTAAAAATAAGCAGCGTGATAGCGTGATTGGAAAAAGGCTCTTGAAGATCCTGTTAAGAGTGAGACACATGGCTGGCCATGGTCCCTTCCCTTCAATCCAGTATATTTTAATAAATTATGAGAGATGGAGGGTTGTTCTTGTGCAGTTGTTCTGATCGGAGCCTCTCTGCAGTGCATGCTCTTGTTCTGTGGTAATACCAAGTGAAGTGCTCCGAAATTATGAAATTCCTATAACTCTGCCTGTAAATACAGTATCTCTATTCAGCTATTCTTCAATAGAACTGTGCTTTAATTATCTTAGAAAATCATTAAATATTCTTTTTGCTTCAATTTTTTAGCAGTTACCTGCAGAGAAGCGTGCCTCCTCTGACCTTAGTATTGCCAGCTCTGAAGAGGATAAACTTTCACAGAATGCCTCTGTTCTGGAATCTCTTTCTGAGAAAACAGAAAGTAATGCAATTGAGGACAAAGCCAGCATGATATTTCCAGATGGCAAAACAACTGGAGATGAACCTGAGGACATTAGGAAAATGGCCGATAACATACATGATACTACTGTTGGTGATAGGAAAGTGCAGAATGGATCTGTGCCAACTGGTGAGGGTGAGCAAGGCAAAATAGTGCTAGCTGGAAAGAGTACAGAAAGCCTGGAAAAACAACATGAAGATACAGAACCCCAGAAAGGAGGAGAAGAACTTGATGTAGTAACAAAATCAGAAATAAAGGATGAACCCCACCTAAAAAAAGAGAAGGAAAATGGCATGGTAAATGAACAAACAGAAGATAATAAGCTAAAAATAGTACCTGCAACTGAAAATAACATGGAAAATGAAGAAGACATTTCTGATGAAACTGGTGAAAAAGAAGAGAAAGAGAACAGAACAGATCTCTCTGAAAGTAAGGAAGAAAAGGTCCCTGCAGAAAATGCTGCAGAGCAAAAGGAAGATAAAGGTGAAGCTCATAAAGAGGCTGTAAGAGACACCACTACAGAAACTCTACCTAATGCTGCAGATGAAGTGGCTGATGAAGAAAAGGAACTAATAAAGCAGGGAATTGACAACATTAAGGAGATAGGTGGTGTTGCTGAAATACAGATCAGTGATGGGGATAAAATACCTGAGCCGGAGGATAAGCCAGTGGAAAGTCAGGCTAAGCAGGTCCATGAGATAATCAGCTCTGAAGAAACTGTATCAGAAAGCCAAGATAAAGTGATCAAAGTAGACAAGAAACTGTCAGAAAGTGAAAATGAGAATATTAGTAATATAAGCAGCATGGAGATCAAAGACTCAGGGGAAGACGATGTAGACCACAGCGCAATACAGAGCAAGCCTGAGGATACGTCTGCTAAAATGGAGGATAAACTGACTGATATGAACCAGAATTCGGAAGAGAGCAGACCTGAGAATATCCAGCAAAACAATATTCAGATAGACAAAGAGCATTCGGAAGTTACTTCTGATGAAATAGTGAAGAATAAGCTTCAAGATACTGTCAATGAACAAGCTGATGATTCTGAAGTCACTCCAGTCCCCAGTATTAGTATTAGCACTGAAGAAAAAGAGAAGGTCAAAACAGATAATCAAGACAGTACGGAAACGTTACAACAGCTAGAATCAGAGAATATGAAGGAAAATGATGCAGATTCCGGCACTGGTTCTACGGCTGATAACAGCAGCATTGATTTGAACTTGTCAATTTCTAGTTTCCTTAGTAAAAACAAAGAGACAGGATCAATATCTTTACAGGTAAGTGCAATCAATCATATAATTTTTAACATAAAATTCTATGTGATTGTGACCCTAAAATTGTCTCCAAGTTTGACCTTTGGAACAAACACAATTACTGAGCAAGAAACTAGTATGACAAATAAATGCAAAACTTTATAGAAACCGAAGTATTCTAAATGGTGCACTCTAACCATGTCTGGATTGTGTGCTGTTATGCAGCAAAGCTAGAAGCTACAGAGCTGCTAAGGATTTAATTATTTTAATGCATAATTGTAGTTTAAAAATGTGGACTAATGAATAACAGGAGGCTTAACTGTTAAAGGTGGAGATTTATGAATGGCTCTAGTTCAGAGCTGGTATTCCAGGTGATTAGTTCAGTGCCTTACTTTTGCACGGAATCTGTTTTTAACTGGACAAATCTCTGATAACATCTCATCTTACACTGAATTCCTGTCACTTCCTTCTTCTGTCTCTCTGTTTAGATTTAAAAGATCTAAGGCAAACAGTCTTTCAGGTTTGTTTATTCCAAACACAGTACTCCTGTGGTTGTACTACATCAATACCACTATGTCAGTATGAATGAGCTTATTCAGAGGGAGCACCTTTCATGTTATGAACTTTATTTATATCTTTATACTAATATGATTACAGCCAGTGTAGAATATTAACTGTGTAACCTTGAGTTTGAAGAAAACAAAACCCAACTCAAAACAAGCAAACAGGCAAGAAAACCCCAAAGAAAAATGATAACTTGGTATAGCAGTGCTGAGCATGACTTCAGGGTGTTTGCAGTAGCCTTAATGTAGTAGAGATGCAGTTTCAGCTGGGGTCTCTCTTCCCTCACAGTGAAACAAAGCAGCTCTGAGAAGGGAGATTTGGCCAGTTCTGTCAGTAAGAGCATCACATGATTTTTTTATTAATATATAAGAAGTAAAAAACTGAACTTGCTGGTTTAATTTATTTCCAAGCAGAAATAGGTAGGTGAGTAAATTGCTATTCTGTTTCAGTACTGCTTTTCGGATTAAATATGTTTTTTGGTGTCTGGGGAAATTATGGTCAAAAGCAAACTAATTGCAGCTGCCTTCAGCTCTTGAACATAAAACTGCATGTTCAGGGTTTACCTAGGTTATTTTTTTTCTTCTGCTGATTTGGATGATCAATAATTACAGTTTTCCTTTGCTGACTACAGAAAGTCTCAGTATATTAGAATTTTTCAAGTTCTCTTGGTTAGCGGGGTACCTGAGAAGCAAAAAATCCTGATTGCCCTACAATGGACCTTCACAGAAATATTTGAAGTAATTGAATATTAACAAATAAGGGGAAAGTATATAACTTAAATAAGTCCAGAATAACTTAGCAATGCTTTATTCAGGAAACTAGAAGACAGAAGAAAACTTTAAAGAAAACTCGGAAGTTTGTTGTTGATGGAGTAGAAGTGAGTGTAACCACATCAAAAATAGTTACTGAAAATGACTCCAAAAGTGAAGAAATGCGATTTTTACGGTAAGTGTTTTTAAAAGTACAATGTACAAAAGGTTGGCTTTCTTTTTTTCCTGTTTAAATAAAAGTAGGGGACTAATGATCTTATTTCTGTAATATTTGGGTATTAATTTCAATTATTTTGTTAGTAAAAAGGAATGTGAGATGTTTCTTAATAAAACCATCAATTCAAAACTAGTTTTATTGGACCTAAGTTGTAAATGCTTTTTTCATCTTCTATAGTTTTCCACTATTGTTTTTATTTCATTATTAGGCGTCAAGAGCTAAGAGAGCTGAGGCTTCTTCAGAAAGAGGAGCAGAGAGCCCAACAGCAGCTCAGTAATAAGCTTTTGCAACAGCGAGAACAGATGTACAGGCGTTTTGAACAGGAAATGACAGTGAGTTTCTGGATTTTGGTGCCCTTAAAATATGACATCTTGATGGAGTAGGCAGCAGTGGGGTGTTTCCTTTTATGATGGCTATAGCTTAGGCTTCATTGTGGGGTGCCTGGCTTGCGTGCTGGAACTCACCTGCCCAGGCAGTTGCTCATGGCCATCCTGTGGACAGCACTTCACTGAATGGAATTTAGTTTTGTAAAAAAAGATGCCAAATTGTTTTTACAGAATAAAAAGCGACAATATGATCAGGAAATAGAGAATCTGGAAAAGCAGCAGAAACAGACAATAGAGCGCCTGGAGCAGGAACACACAAACCGCTTACGAGATGAAGCAAAACGCATCAAAGCAGAGCAGGAGAAGGAATTGTCCAAATTCCAGAATATGCTGAAGAACAAAAAAAAAGAGGTAAGAGACAATGGTGATAATATAGAAAATAAAGAGTATGGGTATAACAACCGCTGAGATTAGGTCTCCTAGAAGCCTCGTCAGCCTTGTGCTGTACTGAGTTGTGGAAGGGTTATTAGCAGCCGGTATTATTTCTTTTGTCTTACTGCCTAAAGTGAAATACAAACAGCTAATGGGGAAGATTTAGGTATTGACTTAATGTAGGGAATGCCACAGAGTTGGAAAACTTTTTCACTGCTGTGAAAAATTAATTATTTTCCCTCAAATCAAGAAAATTATTTTCTTAAAGATTGTGAAAAATATTTGAGATTTTTACTGTAACAAATCCAGCCTTAGCTCCTTAGGAAATACTTACCAAGTTACAGTTTAGAATAAAAGAATATGAGTTTGGTTACTACTGAGAGCCACTTAAATTCAGATACTTTTTGTTAATTTGTTAGGCTTCTGTTGAATGTGTGCTGTTGTTGTTTAGAATGTCTGTAAGTGAAGTGGCAGCAGTTATATGGATTTATTTTCCTTTAAAAAGGAAAGCCAGGAGGGAAAAGTCTGGATAACCTAACATCTTTTGTAGTTAATTTAATGTGTGTCATACAGTTGAGGCAAAATGAATGCCATTTGACAATGACACCTTATGCTATTAATTTGTTTGCATTAGACTAAGAGAAGGTGATGTGTTTCCGTATGGATTTTGCATCTTAAAAGCTGTTTTATTTCATTTTCAGATCAATTGTGTAATGCTTGTTTGTATGTAAATGGCTCTAGCGTTTGCTCTAGTAGTTACTTAGACTCAGATTTCCATGCTTCTGCATAGAATGATCCTGTAGTACAAAAGCACATGAAATAATACAAGTTGTATTCAGTTTGAACCATATGCTCACATGTAAATAACAATTTTTCTTCTTTTTTGATACCTCTTGCATTTTTGAGTCTCTCTCTATTTACTGGTGATTGGGTCCTACATGGGAAAGCGGGAAGAATTTTACATATTGCTCTGAGCTACAAGCAGTTCTTTCATGGAAACAGGAATAGCATGTGGTGGTTTGGACTCTCTTTTCTGATGATGCTTCCACTATTAAACAAACAGGCATTTGTTTTTAGGGGCGTAGTTTTGTATTTCAAGCTTAAGGAGGCGATTTACAGTTTGAAGTCAAAATGCAGCTGCTGCTCTAAAACTCCCCATGCTATACTGGAGTGTGCACTGTTACATGTTTATAATTCTTAAAAATAAATAAAGCACATCAGCAAATTAACAGATTAATAGTCAGTTGATGCAGACAGGTTATACTTAGAATCTTTCTACTAATCTAGTCTAATTCCCCTTGGACTGAAACACGTTCCGTTGCAGCACACGTGTTGTGGGAAGTTTCTTGCAAGTATCCTTAGTTAGTGGTGGTTTCTGCTTTTAAATTCTTCAGAACCAAACACAACCAATTAATATTTTATTTGCTTGTATGATTATTTTAAAGACACAATCTGTGTAGATGTCATTTATGGTTGGATTTGCTACTAATGGCATCTTATAAATTCATGTTAGAGACAGTGTCAGCAATAGCTGGTATTCAGCGGAAGTTGTTTTAAACTTCCAACCATTTTCACAGCTTTACCAGGAGGTAAACATACTCTCTAATCCTTTTGATATAGTGCTTCAAGAAAATAACCACTTTTGCAGGTGGTGGTTTTCTTAACTATTGACTGTTCTAGCTGCTGCATGAAACTACAAGCAAGAGATTGCCATTTCTGAGAGCACTGGGCAGCATTTGCATGCAAAAAGAGGCTGGCATATACCTCCTTTCTGCCCTGCTAGCACACATAAAGCATGTCTTGTTCCTTCTCTTTTCAGTAAGCTCTTTTCACTACTAACATCCCTGCTACTGAAGTAATGCACGCTTCCCAGTAACTCTAGTGCTTGATCTGCATGTGCTATGTTCACGGTAATGCTTGCTGTGGAGAAAGTGTGTCCTTTTCGCCACCTTCTGCATGCTTATATACACTGTAGGTTTTATGTGAAGTGGAGAAAGCACCAAAAGAGCTGAGAAAAGAGCTCATGAAACGCAAGAAAGAGGAGCTTGCACAAAGCCAGCATGCTCAGGTAACAATGGCAGCTTCAAGCTACTAAAATACAAAAGGCAGCAGTATGCACACAGCTTGATGATTTCACTTCTTGTTGTTGAGTGAATATGGAACTTAACTCAAACTAACCCTACGTACTGCTCTCTTTCTTCAAGTACTCCCATGTCACGTCCCATTGAGTATACTGTGTAGAAATGTAGGCCCAGCAATTTCCAGGTTTGTTCTGTTAAGCGTAATATTTCATATGCTGTACTGAAAAAAAAAACAGTGTTTTTTCACAGCAGGTTTATTTCCAGTGCTTTTACGAGTGGTAAGTACCCCATAGGTCCATCAAAGTATAAAGGTTACAGTCAGAAGTTAAGTTTCGAGCAGTATAGGTGTGGGAGAGGAAAAGGTATATAATGTGTAAACATGAGGCATCCTGTTCATGGAAGCAGAACAGATTAGGTAAAATTGAGTTATTTAAATGTCAAAGTGTAGGTGTATGGAAACTTTACAAGGCATCATGTATAATTTCACACCTTCAGACTTGCTGCTTTTAGATGACCCAGCTAGGAAGGAGGGCTAGTGTTTTAAAAAATACTGGCTTTGTGCTGGCCGCAGCTTGTACCGAGTGAGTTTGCACCGTGACAAAGCATGTTTGGATGAGTTATTTAAAGACATTTATGTAAGTGACCTGATAGAAAATAATAGCAACTTCAGTCAATTGAGTGTTTAATTCATGAGGGGATTTCCCCGGACAGAATGTAACTGAGCTGCGGCGCTCCCCCCATCGCAGGGATATGTGTCTGAACTTTTTAAGGAAACAATTAAAAACCTCATAGTGCTTGTAGTGACTTAGATTGTTTTTTCTGCTGGTTTCAGTTTTTGAAGTGGGAGGTGTAAAAGGCAATTCTAAAGGTGAAAAATCCTTACTTGGAACATTAAGTGCAAGACAAGGTGCAGATGTTTAATTTTCAACTATATGGAACTTCTGTCAGTAACTACTTTAGTGTGATGAGCCTTGACAGTTTAAATGTGTATTGCTAACATACAGCAGATCTCGTTTCTCCTTTTGTTTTTTTTAAGAGCAGAAATGTATTACGTTATATTCTGACATAGGAAGTACATTGTGTCCCACAGGGCGTTGCTCAGGTTATGATTCAGTCTTTTCAGTTGTCTTCATGTACACTTTTCAACGCGCAAATGCAGGATGTAAGTCTTAAAATGCAAAGCAACCAAAGTTTTATTGCTCTCATTTTGCAGATGTGTTTTCTCTTCTTCTGCTCTCATGTGCTGATCAATGTCATCGCTGTCCCTAAAACAGTTAGCAAAAAATTCATGTAACTATGCACTATTCATAGTAAAAAGATCAAAATTACAGCAGTTGTTCACTCTGGGCAAGACACTGAAGTTTCACACATGCTATATAATACTGTTCTCTGGTGCTTATTAGTTGTTCAGCACATGTGACAAACAATGTGTGACTTCTGTGCTGTGTGTGCAGTGAAACCATGTATTTTAAAGATATCTGAGGGGTTTTTAAGGTACTTACTGGGCAGAACCAAGTGGTAATTTTAAAAGGGCAGAATACCTTGCACTGTCTGCCTTTAACCATTCAACATGTTCTTTAGTCAAGTCTGTGACTTTTATTGTATGTGATATTTGAGTAGATGTGAGAAGTGGAAAGGCCAGAGTGCGCTCTGAGATTGCCTGGTTTATTTTCTCGTGGTAGCAAATCTAAAACATAAGATTTACCCTGTAGAGACAGCAGTGGTGATATTTAAGTGATTGAGTAAAGCTCAGACTCAATTGCTTTTTGATCATGACTGCATTAGAACAGCTTTCTCCCCTCTCCCTCCAAATTAAAAAATTCCTGGCAAATCAAACACTGTTAATTATGGGTCTGCACCCTCAGAATAATAAGCTTGTAGTTTTCTTATCCTTTTAATCTAGAAAGGGAAACAGAACACTTTTTTTTGTCAATCCCTATATTTGCTTAGGTATGTCTGACTTCATTTACAGACATGGCCTTCTGGTTCTTTTTTATACCCTTAGGTCTGTCACTGTCAACATACTCCTCCTCTAGTTTTGTGTTACCTGGCTAATTGTAACTGCTCTCCACCAGGAGAGATGAAAGCCTCATCTATTAATAACTGTCTGTGAAGATGAAAACCAGGATTATCCTGGTCATAATTAGAAGTTCATTTAATGGACATTTAATTCCATATGTTGCTGACATTTCTTCTAGCCAGAAGCGTAGGTTCAGTAAAAAAATCAGACAATTCCTCTCATCGTCTGTAGTGCTGTCTTCCTGCCTCATCCCATCTCTCCCTTCCAATTGAACATCATTTAACATTGCTTTGTTATGTATAACAGCAAATGCCTCAGCTGCCCACCTTGGCTCTGATAAGACACTGCCATCATCCTTTCTTTTGATCATTATATCATGGTAGAAACATCTGCTTTAATTTCTGATACTCAAAGAGTGTGCGTGTGCATGCCTGCATGCTTGGAGATACTTGTTTTGTTATTTGAAGTTGCAGAGAAGAAAGACAACAGGTCTTGGGGCTGGGAGGGGGGGGATTCTTAGTACTGCCTGCTTTTCATGGTGGGATGCAACAGGGTGGTACACCTAAGGGGAATGTGCAGGTAATATGGGGACAGATGGCAGATTGCTTTGTGAGAGGAGCCCCCTCAGCTCTGTTGTGATAAGCTTGCAAGTTCTGCAGATGCAGTTCCTGCAAAAGCTGTTGGGTGTCTTCATAGCAGTCTTGCAGCACTCCCAACCTCAATATCTTTGCATTCATGACAAGAGATACAAATCTGAAACCCAACTGTATAAATAAATAGGCTTTAACTAATTATCCAAAGCATAATTACCTAATGACTTACATTTTCTTATATGCATTAATAAGTAACCCTTGATATGATAATAACTTTATACTGAGTACTTCACTAGCTTTGAACCTGCAGCTTGTTTTGAGGAGGGACAAGAGATGGGATGAATTGCAGATTGCTGGCTAGTTCGTTGCCTTTGTTCTTATTTCTGAAGGTATTATTTAAACATTAAGTACACTCTTACCTACTCTCCATGTAGAAAATACAGGAGATGCATAATTCGTAGCTGAGGCGTGTTAGCTCAAATTTTCATAGATGTATTTGCTTTTCATATATTGCTAATGCTGAGAGAGCTGGGAGTTTCATTAAAATGTCATGGGTTAGAATAACACAATGTAATTTATATGTGTTGGTTTTTACCAGGAGCAGGAATTTGTGCAGAAGCAGCAACAAGAGCTGGATGCATCTCTGAAGAAAATCATTCAACAGCAGAAGACAGAACTAGCCACTATTGAACGGGATTGCCTCAACAACAAGCAGCAGCTCATGAGAGGTATCTGGCATCAGAATCTCTCTTTAAAACCAGACATTTGTGTTGCATTTCAATAAAACAATGGTCTATCTTAAACTCATGTAATCAGAGACCCTCATGACTAATCCAGAACTGTCATAAAAAAATTTGCTAAGGGATTGTTCTCAAAATGCCCACCTAGGGCAGTTCTAAACACACTGGCAGTTAGATTAGAAAGTATTACGTGGTACTTTCTGAACCAGCCTCCCTCTTTTTTTCCAGCTCGTGAAGCTGCCATCTGGGAGCTGGAAGAGCGACATCTACAAGAGAAACACCAGCTCCTCAAACAGCAGCTGAAAGATCAGTACTTCATGCAGAGACACCAGCTGCTTAAGAGGCATGAAAAAGTGAGTGTTGACTTTGACTCTTTCTCTTGTGTGTTGTCATAGAGAGGTTTTATATGAAGTAGTCTTATGATCTCCACTGGTAGCTGTTCGCTTGCACAGGAAAGACCCACATAGTTATTTTAAAGCTCTATAGGTGGTCATATGTTTCCCTTTTGATTCTCAAAAACCTAAGCCAAAAACAACATCAACCTTTCTGCATTTAGAAATAGCAAATTCTGCTTATACACTTGTGTTTAAATAAATCTACTCATTAGTACATAATTCTGGGATTAAATGAGCAGAATGAACCCGATTAGCTTTTGGGAAGTAGCTGATAACTGTCCTATGGCTAAATCCTATAAAAGCCCAGAAAACAAGACTTGTCTCTCCCGTGGCATTTTTGTTTCTCATAGAATATGCTAACCAGAACAGTTCAGTGTTTGAAATCATAAAGCCAGTGGAGAGTTGTTACGGGATCTCCTTGGTGACTGGAACGTGAGCAGCCTCCGCTGGAGGCTTGTTTTTGTGTGGTTGGGTGTTGCTTTTGCAACAAACCAGCCCTTCACAACTGCGGTTGTGGAAGTTCAGTTCCACACAGGTTCTCCCTTTGAACCAGGCTTTAAAAAATGCAGTTCAGGAGTTGAACAACCACTGATGAAATATAAATGTGTTCATTTTCATTAGAATCTTAGAGAACTTCATCTGGGCTGGGCATGATCCAGAGCTTTCTGGAATAAGGGCGCTTCCTCCCTGTTGATATCACTAGGGCCAGGACTGGTTTCTCTTGAAAGAAGCTGACTCAAACAGCATGCTTATTGATGAAATGAGGTGCAAACATTTTAACGTAGTAGTTCCTCTGTAACTTTTCCATGTTGTTAACATTTTAGGAAACAGAACAAATGCAGAGATATAATCAGCGCCTGATCGAGGAGTTAAAGAACAAGCACACTCAGGAAAGAGCCAGACTGCCTAAAATCCAGAGGAGTGAAGCAAAGACCCGAATGGCAATGTTTAAGAAGAGTTTAAGAATCAATTCACTGGCCTCTCCAGACCAAGACCGTGAGAAGATTAAGCAGGTTATTAATAAAAACAGTTTTAATAGTGTAAATGCTTAAAGCAATGTAAATGTGAGGATGGGATGGAGTGCACTCTCAGCAGGTTCACTGACTGTACAAAACAGGGTTGATGCACTGGAGAAGGTCAGAGGATATTGTCTTTCCCCCGGCACTGGTGAGGCTCCTCTGGAGCACTGTGTCCAGTTCTGAGCTTCCCAGAGCAAGACAGACATGGGTTTACTGGAGCAAGTCCCACAAAGGGCCTTGAAGATGACTGCGGGTCTGCTGGGTCTTGTTATAGGAGGAGACATAATACCTGCAGCTGGGAGGCAGGAAGGCTCGGGGCTGTCACCCATATGTATAAGTACCCATCAGAGGGAGTAAGAAATACAGAGAATCCAGCTTAAACATAAGTGAACACTCTCTTTTTTTAGTGTGAGGGTGGTCAGATGCTAGAACGGGTTGCCCAGAGAGGTTGTGGAGATACTCTGGAGCCAGCTGGACACAGTCCTATGCAACCTACTCCAGCTGACCCTGCTCTGAGCCAGGGGGATTGATCTTTGCAGGTGCTTTCCAACCCCAAGTGTTCTGTTATTCTGTGAAATACTTTTAAGAATACTTGATTTTTTTTGCGAGCTTTTGAGCTAAAACTGCAGGGTTTCATTCTTTCGAAGGAAATGTAGTGAAGAGGTTTAGAGGTTTGCTTTCTACTGATGCACCAAAGTCCCACATCATTGTTTCATAGTGTGAGCACCGGAAGGATGAATAATCTGGAAGAACCAGCCTCCAGTGGGTGCATAACACCAACCTTAACTGAGACTTGTAGCAATGCTGCTGTGTCATTTAGCTTGAGAGGGAGATAACTTCAGGAGCGTGGAAGTGAAATGGGCTGTGTTTTAAGGAAAAATGAGAGTGGAAGTATGGGATGATGGCATGGAACAATGAGAAATGGAATGATGAACAAAACTGTGAGGACATTCCCTTTGTAAGAATTTAAAAAGAAAGACTAAAGGAAGTATAGTTGCTGTTTAAATCCTTTAAAACTATTCTTTTATGCTGTGTGTATTCATTCTGTCACATACCTTTCTTTGACTTGTGTAAGCTGTTGTATCTAGAGGCACAATATAAACTGTCTTTTCATTATTCATTTTAGTTTGCTGTTCAAGAAGAAAAGAGGCAGAAGAATGAGAGACTGGCTCAGCATCAGAAACATGAAAACCAAATGCGGGACCTTCAGCTGCAGTGTGAAGCCAACATCAGAGAACTGCATCAGTTACAGGTTAGAAATAGATGATACTATAAATGAACCTTCAGTGGGAAGACTTTGGTTAATGACAGATGAAGGCAAAGCAGAAACATCTTTTCCTTCATGGTTTAACTTTGCTTTCAAAGGCCTGCAGCAAACCACTTAACCAGATCCAAATACTTGCAATTAATGAAGAATCATTTTAAATGCAAGACCAGCATCAACCAGAAGCAGATGATCACTTCTAGAATATCTGTGAAGTTCCCAGTGCTATTTTCTGTGGCAGCTTTTCCTTGTAACCTGATTCTGCTGAGATGATGTCATTCATCAGAACAGAGGCAGGCAGCCCCAGGCATTGCCCACAAGACATTTGAGGCAGTACTTGGGCTGAGGAGGCTTTTACCAAGTGCAGGCTGCCCTTTGTACTTGAGCTTCTGGAAGGTACTTGGAAGGAATTCTCTTCTCGCAATGCAGAACTTGTAAAAATTGCTGCTGTTTACCAGAGACCAGGTCTCCTTTTCCATTATCTGTTTCAGGGACAGTTTTAAAGCATTAAATGATCATCTGCTGACAACCTTTGCATAGGGAAATCTTCCAACAACCAATGAAGCTGGTTCTATTCTGTTCACTTACCTCCTTGAACACAGTCCCTGACTGTGCCACTAATACACCTAGTAAATCCCCAAGTACCGTGGGAGCCTTGTGGGAGTTTCAGCTCCAGTAAAATCAAGCAGATTAGGGCTACACTGAGCTTCACCAGGAAAAACTGGTCCCTGGCTACATTCCAGTCTGGCCATGTGCTTGTCAGTTTTGTTCCTGTGATTTTTGCACTCTGGATGCAGACCCAGTTGGGACTGGCACCCTAGAAACAAGGACATGGAGTTTAGAGACTGCCAGCTGCTCTTAAGAAGCAAGTATTTGATGTAGCCAAATACTTGATTTTTGTTTCTCACTGGACTTCACAAGATCAGCAGCTGCCTGCGTGCCTCACTGAGAGGAGTGTGAAGCCAATATGGGGTTTGATTGCCCTTTTCCTTCTCATAGGGCAATTCTGAGGCTACTTTTGCAAGCTCTTTTCTCTCCTAAGTCACATTTGTTAGTCTGAGCTCCTTGGCACCAAGAGTTGAAATACTTCCAAAAACCTACCTCCTTTTTAATGTAATTGATTTTAATGCATTATACAAACTGTCTTTAGGAATCAAAGCAGAAATGCTGTATGACCTTGAGAAGCATTTTTGGCAGTGAAACACAGTTTTGAGTAGTGCTGTCGGCTGCCGCCTTAATGATATTTCAGGAGTATATTTGGACTTACAAGTATTTCTTATCTCAATTGGTTCTAATGGAAAGATCAGCTTTGGATAATGCAGGCTCGTAACATACTTTTATCTTGTAATTATTCACGTCACTATTTACAGGAAATAAGCTAATTAAAAGGAATTAGGACAACATATGTCAGTGTACAAATGTTGAGTTGCCTAATCTGAATTAGTTTTACATAAGGATTATCTTTATCTCATCTCAAGAATGAAAAATGCCATCTACTGGTTGAGCATGAGACGCAGAAGCTAAAAGAACTGGATGAAGAACACAGCCAAGAACTGAAGGAATGGAGAGAGAAATTGAGACCAAGAAAAAAGGTAAATCAGAACAGTTTGTGAACTGAAAAATCAAGAGTTGGATCTAGCAAATATAGACCATACAGAAAGTAGCGCAGAGGAGGAGGCCAAGCCGCTGTCCCAAACTGCTTCTGTTCATTGAATAATAAAAGATACTAAAACAACATCAAACATGCAAAAATTGACAAAGGGCAAGTGCAACAGGAAAGGCTTCTGTGTTACCAGCCCCTGGCTGTTCCCTCCTGCGGCTTGTGTGTGCATATTTGCATATAAAACTTCTTAGCTGGAGGTAAATCTGGGTTTAGGAATGTATTTCAGGAGCCAGTAGGTTACTGCAAAAACTGAGGCTAGATAACAGGTGGTGGAGGTTGGCTTTGGGGGTTATATTTAATGTTCAAGTGGGAAATACGAGATTTTCACAGTGTTCGGAGGGTATCCTATGGGCAGATGTTGTCCTGAGCTTCCAATGCCTTGGTTGTCTTGCAATTTCTGAATTGCCTGGTGATTTTATTGCGATGGGGTGTGAAGTCACAGTGTTCTATCAGACAGAACGGCACCACTGTGATAGGTTTCTTGTGCTTCACAAGAAACTTGTGTTCCTTGAGTTAACCCCATGACAATCTGATTTTGGTTGTAGACGCTGGAAGAAGAATTTGCCAGGAAACTGCAGGAACAGGAAGTTTTCTTTAAAATGACTGGAGAATCGGAATGCCTTAACCCTTCAACACAAAGCCGCATTTCCAAATTCTACCCAATCCCCAGCCTTCACTCCACTGGCCCCTAACTCTGGGAACTACTGTAGGTTATTTCATACTTGGAATTCTCCATCCTCATCATCTAACCCGACTGGATCTGCAGTGTACATCAAAGGACCCCGTGCTCTTTATTTTCAGTGGAGACAATCAGTGTCGGGATCCTTTTCTTTACTTCTCTGAATGGAAGAAGAAAGGCGTTGGTGTATGATGGTAATGTTGTGTCCTTCGGATGTTTCAAGAGTAACTGGGGTTTTTATCTTGGTCACAAAAAGTAAGTTATAGACGGTTTTGACTTCAAGCCTGAAACATTGATTATGCTCTTTCTGATCACAAAAAGAAACGGTTTCTCATGTGAACATTTAAACAGTGTAATATTAGTTCTGCTACTGTGTTTCTCATTGTCTGATTTCTCCACGAGAGAATTCCACAATTGAAACTGCCGTGAGAGGTTTAAAACTCTATAATGCTGAGCAGTGTCTTCATAGCAAGGACTGAAACGAATTACTCAGAACATGCCAGTAATGAGAGAAAGAAACCCTTATGTTTAAACCTGACTGGTAAAAGCAAACGCCTTTGCAACCTCTTTGAAAAGAAACCTCTGGCATGAATTAAACTGAGCTGATCTCCATGACTTATTTTGTCCATTAGTTCCATAATGAAATGGGGTGCTAGTTTAATTAATACAGTGCCTGAAACTGATATGCTGAACCTGGCAACAGGGTGGCATTTCATCATTTAAAGAAACAAAAACTCCTTAGCATTGTTGTTACTGTACAGAACAGAAGATTTCTTGCTGCTACTGCCATTTTTGTTGTAAATCCTCACCCTAAAATATTTTGCACTAAAATATGTAAAGGTGAAAGAAATGCTAACTTTAAAAATGCACAGTTTATTATTTTCCTTAGCTATTCCAGGGGGTTAGTTCTACAAATCGAACACTGTAGAATGTATTTTTTAGGAAGCGGTGTGCACCATGCACGTGGTTTCTCTAACTGAACCTGCAATGGGTAGAGCCATTTTTCTGTTCTTACCAAAGCCTCTTCATTTAAACTCCATTGGGCAAGTGGAGCTGGGTGGTCATATTTATAAATCCCCACGGCGAAGTCTGATTTGGTTAGAAGTGTTAGATTTGATGGGGTTTTTTAGTCGTTTTATTTTATAGACAGATTTAAGTTAAATATATAGACAAACTACATTATGAAGGTGGGTTTTTGCTTTCGTGTCGCCACGTACTAACATAGGCAGGTTTTATTTTTCATAGATGTACAATAAGTTATTTACCTGACTGATCTGCAGTGGAAAAAATCTGCGATGTAGGGGAAATACAGCTCTCTTGGGTCACTTTTACTGCACTCTTTTTGGTGGTTAGAGTTTGAGTCATATCAAGGCAGTGTTACCAGCTGTACTTTGGTATGCTGGCGTTCAGTTTGTGAAGTAGTACTTGCTTTCTGTTCTTTGAGGCCTGACTTCTAGGCTGTTTGGGTATCAACCGTATGCGTTCTGTTTTGCTGGCTTGTGTTGAACGTGCAACTGGTGACCTTTACATGGCATTCATTTCATGGGAACAGTATTGATGCATGTGAATGAAGTCATAAGTTAACACAGGACTTTAGTCAGATGTGGCTGAAACCTTGGATGCTGAAATCCTTGGACGTTGAAGTGTCTTCGTTGACCACCTCGATGAAGATATTTAATTGACAGCACGGGAAAATACAACTAATTTGGAAAATGCATGTTTTAATTTAAATTTTGTAACTTTTTGATAGCATAATTACTTTATAGCTAGCCTTAACTCCTGGCATTTTATTATGTAACTGTGTATTGTGTACTGTTGTAAATCCACATACCATATCTCTAGAATGTTACCTATTGCTAAATGCAAAGCTCTTTACGTTGTTCATTCAGGAGGGTGAAAAGAGTCCTTGAAGGCCTTTTTAAGCTCCACCACCATAAATTGACTGTTACTAAAATGACATTTAATAATCCTCATCTTTAACAGAGTTTGTTGGCAGATCCCTATGAAGTGGGCTCAGTGCTCTACTCGGGGAGCAGGCAGGGCAAGCACATTTCACCTCCTGGATTATCTCTACCTTCACCCACATTAAATCCTTGACAGGAAAGGTTAATCCTCTCCTTACACTTTTGGCAGTTCCAGTGATAACTTGCTAATATCTATTGACAAACTGTTTACCTCGGTCTAAATCTTATAAATGTTTTACTTGAAGACCCTTTTCACACGGGCTCCGGCAGCCTGGTCTCATGGTCAGTTGTAAGTATTTAGGTTCTGTGACAGAGGGGGGATTGAATGCACCAGTAGTGGGTGCTGGGTCAGGTCTGCAGGTGTGGAGCACTGTGAACTGTGCTGAGGCCTGATAATAAGTGTGAAAAGGTGTTTTTCTAGGGGATTACAGGCACTAGCCTGGGTACTTAGACATTTAGACTGATAACATTGGGTTTAAGTATTGCAGAACGTGAAGCAGGTGTACAATATTGTATCAATGTCAGAAACTTCAGTTCAAATTAACTTAGTCTCACACAGGCCTGGAAGAGATCTCCTGAGATACAAAATCCAGTCTCTTTTGTATCACGTCACCTCCCTTTAATAAATGTTAGGAGCTCCATCTCCGCAATAGTTAGGTGTGTTTTCTTCACAAAACAATGCACTTTGTTACTCAGTGTTCAGCAGATCTCATTTCCCCTCTATGCCCTTCAGAAGACAAATCAGTATTTGCTCACCTTTGTGTTTTACTACATCATAAATGCTGCCCCCAGGAAAATCAACAAAGGCAGTGAATGTGTGAATTGCAGTGCAATATATTGGTCGGTTGTCCTGTATTTAAAGCAGCCTCTGACGGGTTCAGCCCTCACAACTTGTTCTTCCTGAGCTCTGAGCAGATTTTGGCACCTGCAAAGTCAACTTTGTTGGGATAGGGCCTTGGAAGGGTGGGAGCCACTGGTTCTGCTCACATCCTATCTGTTAGTAGAACCCAGCTGCTTGCAGGATCCTCTGCCTATGCAGCAGTGCTGGCAGCCCAGGTTGATCTCTGGCTGGGTGAACCTCACATGATCTTGCTGCCCCTGTGTTTAGGAGGTTCTGCATCTTTAATAAATTGGGCATCTCTCCAGGATGGGGCTGTCTCGGGTAGCGTTACCAGTGAGGAGGATTCGGGCTGTGGCTCAGGAGTCCCAGGGGAGCTTTGCTTCACTTTGGCGAGGGGGGAATATTCCAGCATTTGTTCCTCTCTGATTCCCATAAAGCAATTGTGTTTCTTTTTGTGAGCACTCTGCTGAACACATGAGAAGTGTGTATGGCATTGAAGAGACAGGACATTGAGGTCATTATGACTGATTAAATCGCTCCTGATTTATTAACACCTTCTGAAGGAGAACCAAATTCCAGTTCAGAGGTGGCAGCCCCGCACTGTCCTTTCCAGTGGCGCTCACTCACTGTGATTTTTCACATCGCTTTTAAAATAGTGATACTCATTCCAAGCAGCATCCTTTTTTTTCTGACAATGTTTTAAGCTAATATCCTCTTAAAGTTACATCCATGCATATTCATTATCTGATCTGTCGCAGGGTTTCAGAAGTATTCTTCTGTCCCAGAGGACTTTCTCTATTATAACTCCATGCTACTGAATTTGTATTCTTAATAAATAGGAAACTTAGCACCTTAACTAAAACAGCGCCAAGCAATGCAGTGATGTATCGTCACACCACAATGTCTTATATGGCAGCAGTATCACATAGGAAGCTTGATTCTCCACACAAAAGAGTATCTGCCTTGCAAGTATTTCAAGGTTACTTTGGTATAGGAAAAATAACACTCTTTTAATTCAGGCCCTTAAATCCACCTTTATTTAGCCTGACTTTCAGAGCTGCTGTGTAGCTGCAGCTCATTGTGGCTCAGAAGCGCTCATCATGCTGAAAACCAGGGAACAGACTTCACTGTGTGAATAAGCTCAGTGCTGGTTGCTTCCACTGAGCTATTGCCCTTTGGCTACTCTGCCGTGGGGAAGGGAGGCAAGGTTTTGGGGGCAGTGGCTCTGTGGTCACTGGAGGAAAGGGCAGGGAGGAGCATGCAGGATGGTCACTGCATAGGTAACTCCGTGCTTTTTATGTCAGCATTTACAATCTGGTCATTTAACTTCAAATTCTGCACTTCTGGGTCTCAGACTTCCTGCAGTTGGTACGTCCATGCACATTTCCCATTCCCAGACTACTTCTGCCGTCTTCACAGCACATGCAAAACAAGGTCAGAGGCAAGGATGCCCTCTTGGTTCTCAGTCATACAAAAGATGAGACCAGATAAAGGGGAGGAGAAGGCAACAGAAGGTTGTCAGTGTTTCTCTCTTGCTTGCAGAGCTGTCAGTTGTTCTCCATCCCCTTTCGCAATCTTGCCTCATCCTCATACTTCATTTCTGTAGCTCCTTTTGGCATTAGGTGCCAGAGCAATGAGACAGACCTCTTCAGAACGTGCTCAAAACCATGAAAGCTCATGCATAAGGGCTCATGTGCTTCCACTGTACCTAAAGCAGAAGGGAGGGGCTGAGCCCAAAGATGCTTTGGTTTTTCAAAGTCTCTTCTACAGTTCCCAAGGTAGGTGGTAAAGCCTCTTCCTCACAAATTATTAATCCTAAAATGGGGGAAAGAATGGAAACTAGAAAGGGACACCGAGTGAAATCTGTAATGTTGAACTCTCACACCCATTTCCTATAGGAAAGGCAAGCAGGGGGGTCTGCTGTGATCAAGTGTACACTGAGGCATCCGCACCTCGTGTTGTCCCAGCCATTTGTTGAATGTTTTGTGTTACCTGCAACCCAAGTTAATTTTGCCTTACAGAAAGCAACCAAAAATCAGGGGATGGATGACTTAACTGGTTGGGGGTCTCTGTACGTACACCTTGTGGAAGTGAACTTGCAGTAGCAGCCATACAACGGTTTTGGGTTGGTTTAAGTTTTTGTCTTGTTTTTCAAAGTAATTTGATTTCATGGCTTTCTGTAGAATATTGTAATAATTCTGCTGTAAATACAATAAAATCACGGTTTGCTGAGCTGGCCTCTGGTTTGCTGATGGAAAAGCTGCATGAAATACATGTGATGTTGGAGTGAATGGGTCTTTTAAAATAGCTGAGTGTAAAAAGTGCTTTAGGTTGTGCAGCGTGTGGCTGCCTGTCTGGAACAGCCCAGGGCAGGAGTGCCGATTGAGCACAAGCCTAAAAGGATGCCTAAAAGGACTGCTGTGCCCTATCCGAATTCAACATGGGGCCTCCCCTCATGACAGCCACTCTGACCAGTTGGGTACAGGGGAAGAGGTGAGGAGCTGCTGTTTGGCAGCAGAGCCCCCCTCAGCAATGGTCCAGGCTGGATGATGCAGCAAATGAGAGGTTGTGCCTGTGGGGCCCCAGAGGGCTGTGAGCTGCCCAACCCTGTCACACAGCACAGCCTGCAAACCCAGCACGGCTGTCCTGAGTAGTTCAGGCATGGACATACCACTGCTGTGCTTAAACATGACAGCACAGGGCTGTTGGTGGTGTTTTTAAATGAGAATTAAAAGGCAAGGTCTCCACAGAGCCAGGGGGAGCGTAAATCACCCAGAAGGATGCAGGCTGTATTGGCAAACAAGCTCTGTGCTCTGAGAGCTGGCCTGGTTCACACAGGCCTTTGCTCTAAACACTCCTATGCTTAGGGAACACCAACACTTGACATCAGTAAAGTAAACCTGGACTGAAAACAAGCGGTTCAAGCAAGGGGTTTTTGTTTTGCTATAAGAATGAGCCACTGCCCTGCTCTGGCCAATCCCTGGAACTAAAGTAGCACCTCAGTGTGTGTGTGCAGCACATACGGCCCCAGCAGCACCGTAATGCTGATGTGGTGTCACACGCGTGATAACCAGGCACGGTGCACTGAAATGCCAGCCTCTGCCCAGTGGTACCTTACAGCTCGGCCATCACTCAGCCCCTAGGCTCCCCCAGCTAAAATACATAAACTTTACCAGTAATGCCTCACTGCAAGGAGGAAGGCAGTGACTGTGGCACCCTGGGACAATGTGCAGAGACTGCTGCTACTGTGACTGGAACCTGCTGCCAGCTGGAGAAGCAGGTCGGCATGGGCCTGGCCCACATTCCTGTGCTGAGAAACAGAACAGCCACCAGCACCACCCAGCTGCGTCTGCCCATGGTCACAGTGATGCCCAATGTAATGCTGGTCACGCAGGCTTGGGTTGAAAAACACACTTTAATTGGGCTGTTTACATTAAAAATATTCCCCCACCCCAATGTTTTTAAAAAACAATACAAAAATACTTCTAAAAAGATCAACAAATTCTGTTTAAAAGTGCTTCAGTTCGGTCCCTGTGCATGTCATGTCCCGCTGTGCTGCTACGAACAGGCATCGCAAAGCACGTGCTGACCCAGGCAGAAGCACTTCTATGTGCTGTACCCATCACTGTCTGCACCCCTCCAGTAACAGCTTGTCCAAGGAGCTGTGCTCACGAGCAGGTTTAATGCACCTGGAGCATTAAACCCACTCCTGAGGCCAGGTGGATGGGCATTGCTTTCCAAAGCAAGTGATGGGCTGGGATGATTGTCCTGTGGGCTGAATCTGAGCTCTTAAAGGCATGTGTTTGGTGGGGGTTAGATGCTTTCGTTTTTAATTTATGCTGGATAGTTGGCTAGTTGTTAAAACAGGATTTTAGATAGCTGGGAGTAATACAAGAAGCCTGGACTGGGTGAGACAGACACGGCTCGCTGTCAGCCCAAAGCCTGGGAGCTCAGGGTGCTAAGCCAAACATCAGCAACAGCAGCAAATACCCACATCAGGGCCATACTTGACACATAAAAGAGCCATTCAAAGCTCTGCAGCAACACGGAACTATCAAGCCTAAGTGGTTAGCTGTGGGCAGGGATGTGTTAGCTTTAAGGCAGTGATGACTCAAGCTAATTCTCTATAGGCTGCTGGGAATGCTGCCCAGTGCAGAACTGAGCTGCCTCTTTCCTCAAACCCCAACATTTCTTCTTTTTCTTCTGCCAACATACATTTGTTCACCTGGGGAGAAGGAAGTCAAAAGGAGGGTTACTTGAAAAGTTCATGTGGGGTAACAAAGACAAAAGACCCCAAACAAGCAAACAGCTGGGGCCATGTGGGTTTTCCAGCAGTTCCCAGAGATGGGCTGGTCCCTGGGGAATCCTCCCCTCCCCAACAGGCACCCCCTGCTCTCCTGGGGATGGCAGATGTTCATACCTTTCTCTCCTTTCTCTCCTTTTGGTCCCCGGTGCCCATGGCGTCCGGGTGGGCCCATTGGTCCAGGGTCACCTGAGGGAATGAGAAGACCAAGTTTGCCCTTGGGCAGGACTGGCCCACCAACAGGGACAGGCCAGGGTACGGAAGGGCAGCTCCTGCTGAGATCTTGAAGATGCCACCTCCACTGTGGAGGTGTGACCTTCAGCAGCCCTGTGCCAACTATCTCTGTGGACACAGGGCTGCTCCCTGGCTGTTAGGAGGCTTGAGAGGGAAAGGATGGCAAGCCTTACCTTTGGGTCCAGGATAACCTCTCTCCCCTTTTTCACCGGGTGGTCCCTGGATGGCACCATATGCTGGAGAGGGAAATGAAGGAGAGGATGAATGAGTGGGACAAACCACTTGCAAAGGGCTCTGTAGTCCCTCAGAGCAGCAGTGAGTCACACTGGAAGGACATTTCTCTAGGTTGGATGGGATTAGACTGACTGAAAGCAAGTTCTGGTTCTGATCCCAGCAAAGTCCCAGGGCATGGTGTGATCCCATTTCACCGGCACTGCTCTGCCACCCTCTCTGGGTGTCCTGGCTGTTACCAGGGCTCGAGCTAGCCCACATTCAGGAAGGGGAATCTCAGCACAAAGTGAGCTGCTGGCTCCTGTTGCTCTAGACATGCCAGCCCAGCCATGGTAAAATCAGCCACAGGGTTTGCAAGCACAGTGGCCTTCAGGATTTGGGACGAGTTTCCTGCAAGTAGTGGGAAAATCTAATGCACCTCCCCAGCAAGGGAGGAATGGGATGGACAGACTACCTGCCTCCAGCTTTGTATCTCAGCAGTATTTCTGCAGCGTGCAAAGGTGAAAAGATCACTGCATCTACAAGAGGTTGGTGAGATCTCACACACATGAGCCAGAAACCAGAACTCAATACGTCACTTACTTCTAAAGAAGTCCATGAGGTCTGCGGTGACGTTGCCATAGGCTGCGAAGACCCGGCTGATGCCAGGAGGACCAGGAGGGCCTGGGGGACCTGCGGGTCCCTGCGCAGTGTAAGACATCAGGTCCTGGAGAATACCTTGGCCTGAGGAATTTAAGATATCATTTGAAAGGAGCTCTGGGAAAACTGAGGCTGGATGCTGAGGCAGGAAGGGTAAGGGAAGTAAACACTGACACAAGCCACAGAGGGTTGGGGTTGTGCGCTGGGACACAGAGGGTCAGGACAAGCAGGCATTCCACTCACTCTGTAGGCTCTCTGACACACGGAGTGCCAGCTCATTGTAATCCAGGGAACCAGAGAAGGAGTTCCTGTAGGATCTGCTTGAACTCGATCTCCTGCGTGATTCCTCCTCTGCCAACAACCCATCAAAAGACCCATCATTGCCCATGGAGGTCTCATAAGAGCCATCGCTGCCCATTGAGGCACTGTAAGATGACATGCTGCTCATGGAGCTGCCATATGAGCTGCCCGTGCCCAGTGATCCCCCATGGGATCCCTCAGCACCAAGGGATTCTCCATGCATCCGCTCAGAAGTCCGTAACCCTTGGTATGATGAAGACATAGACCCAGCCATCAAGCCACTGTCTCCTTTGGGTCCTGGTGGTCCCCTTGGCCCAGGGGGTCCGGGTGGCCCCGAGATGTAGCTTCGAACTTCATCACCTGCAAAACACGAGAGGGGGGGAACATCAGGGACACTGGGGTGCTGGGGACCCCAGGCTTGGCACAGGTCCTGTGCTACCACCTGAATGAGGACTGGAGAGTGAAATTTTGTCCTGGCAATTATCACAGTGACCCTCATCCAGTGCTATCTCACAGGCAGCAGGCACGGATGTCAGCCTCAATCTCCACAGGTGCCATATCACCCTCCTCCTTCCCATCTCTCCCACAGTTTCAGGTGTCCAATCTTAGCAACGTGCCCACAGCAGAAGGGTGCACTCCTCTCAGGCCAATGTCAGCACCTCTGCCAAAACAGCCATTCTGTGACCAAGGTCCTAAAAGTGAGGGGATCCCCATGTTTTTGGAAGGCTGCCCTGGATGACTTGCCAACTTCAGGGCTCAGATTAATGCTGCTTCACAGCTGGCTCGGCTCCAACCCGTACATCACCCATTGCTCTATAGGCAGGTGTTTGTCAAAGAAGATGCTTTTCACATAGCAAAATTCTGCAGATGACCTTATTAGGGAGTTATTTGGACCTTACAGGCCAATTGTAACTGCCCAGTGCCTGTTTCTTTTGGCTCACAACATGGATTTTGCCTCTTTGAGAGGAGACCAGCCCATCGGGTGCAGTGTAGACCTGGCTGTAGAGATAAGGTGTTTCTGCAGCCCCGTTTTAGGGAAGGCTCCTACAGAACTGCCTTAGCTGTGGTAGAGGCAGCAGCCTACACAAAGCAAAGCATGGCTCGGGTGTGTGCAGGGGGATGGATGGTGTCCCCTTACTCTTCAGGTACTGGATCAGCTCACTCCTGAACTCATCGCTGTTGGTGATGTCAGTATAGGACAGGAGACCGGTTCCTGAGAAGCCTGGAGGTCCTGGAGGGCCAGGAGGGCCAGGTGGGCCCTGGATTCCAGAGAGGGAGGAGTATCCCACACCTTGAGAGAGAAGAATTATTTTCCAGCAGTGAGAGGACAAGGGAATCACACATGTCTGGGGATCTGCAAAGTGCAAAGGCTTCAACCCCAACTTCCACCCCTCTCCAGCTGATGTTGTGAAGTGACCCTGTTCTCAGTGGGCAGTCCCAGCCCTGCTGAGCTAAATCTCAGCCTCGGTCCCCCAGCACCTACAAACAGAGTCTGCCTGCCAGCTGTGAGAAGTACAAAAGTGCTTTACTTTGTAGGTAAGCAGAGAAGTCCTCCAGAGAGATGCCTGGTGATCCAGGGATCCCCGGAGGTCCTTGGGGCCCTGCAGGACCAGGGGGCCCAACAAGCCCACTGAATTCAGAGTCTGTAAGAAAGACACAAGAGAAGGAGTCACTCAAACCACCACAACCCTGATGAACCTTCCCTGACAATACAGTCAATGTTAGCCACGGCCAAGTATAAGGCATTTTTTTTTCTCCCCAGCACCTTCTGGTACAGCCTTCCTGGTGCACCTCACTTTCCTGTGCGTAGACATCACAGTCAGGAGATCCCAAAGAAGGCAGAAGTCCCTACTTTTTAAATATACTTTCATAAAGTGGCATAAAAAAAATCCTTTATGCTGCAGAGCTGGGAGAAGGGCTCCTCCAGCCCCATTCCCAAGACAGCACCTCCCAGCTGCTGCTCTCCACAGGAGCATGGTGATCTGTCTGCAGCCCTTCATGGTCTGTACAGGTCCTAGCAGAGCCCAGGAAGGCTGCGGTGTTCCTAAGTGACCATCATAGTCTCACAGACAATTATTTGTCATGATGGGCAAAAGGAGAAACTCTGGTTAAGCCTGTAAAAGAAGATCCTGAGGTATGCATGGACCTCTGACAGGGGAGTAAAGAAGCTGGCTTACTTCTGAGGTATGCTGTCAGGTCACTGTAAGATATACCAGGTGTCCCTGGAGGCCCAGGTGGTCCAGGGAGCCCAATGCTCATCCCAGAACCTGCAAAATCAAACAGATCCAAGAGTAGCACATTATTAGAACAGGCAATTACAGTGTGAACAGACAGGTTGCAGGGCTTGTTCATCAGTAATGCAGGAGGGACTCCTGCAGGGTAGAGTGTTCTCAGCAGCAGATTGTGCTGGGAACCGGGGCTTAAACCTTGTTCTGTGCTTGGAGTTAAAGCTTGCCCCGTTAATCTGAACACGAGGGCACTTGCACACCGGCAGGCATCAGGCCTCTATTCATGACCCACTGGCATGTGCTGCTCAACCTGTGTCACCTATCTGCAGTAGGTCTGATGCAGAACTTTGCATCTTTGTGATGCGCATTAATGAAATGTCCCTGCTGGTAAAGCGCAGCTGTCCTGGGTGGGGTGCTACTGCTAAACAGCAGTTTTCTGCTTCCAGAGCCAAAGAGGAAATCCCCACCATCTTTGGAGCAGCCAATTAGTGAAATCTGGTCTCCAAGGTCAGGTCAAAGAGACTAAGAATGGGCAAGGCTCTGCTTTTAAGGGGAAAAATGCAGCTACTAGGATTAGGCATTTTAGCACTGCTGTTGGGGATTCTTGAGTCCTTTCTATCCAACAGTTCTTACGTGCCACATCACTCCCTTACAAATGGAAAAATGAAGCAGAGGTGCTTCATTTACTTTAAACTTGTAAGATTTTGTTGTCTCAGCTGCCTTGACACAAAGTGGGTATAGACCAACTCTTCCACAGAGGGATACATCCTGGCCACAGAGCCAATGAAAGGCACTTGAAGGGATTGATGGGAATTCTAAAATGAAATTATGTTCCTAAACTCAGTTTTTAGCAAAGCAAGAACTCATTACTAGAGTCTGTGGATAGCATCTTAGCTATAGGGGGTCTTTGTTTTCTTCCAAGTTTCTCACAGTTCCTGTGAGGACGTCTCTGTACATAGGGATTCACACAGTCAACACTGGAAGAGTTTTCACTGACCGCATGAGCTTTCTGCTCAGTTCCCAAAAGAACAGAAGGAAATGCACACTAAAAAAGGCCATTACTTGTCAAGTAGCTGATAAACCGTCTGGTCAGCTCATCATAATCCAGTGACAGAGACACGCCATCTCCCCCTGGTCCAGGAGGTCCTGGTGGGCCCCGAGGTCCCACCAGATACTGACGAATTTCTTCTCCTGGAAATGAAAAATGCATCTTTTAAGGCCATCCAGCTCCTGCAAAGGCACCAGGTCTGAGGATTTCTCAGCCTGTGAGCAGGCCACTCAGCAGCACCTATGGCAGGCCTTGACCCTCTGAAGCAGCTGCTGGTAACTCCAGTTAGACACAGGAGATTGGAAGGGAAGAGGAGGTCTCCTGGGATGCTTTACCCCTAACCCCCATGTTTCCTTTCAAGGTTCACTTACTCTGCAGCATGTCCAGAAGTTCTTGGTACAAAACAGATGTAGTTGATACAGAACTGGCAAATGACTGATAGCGATCTGAAGAGCCTGTGGGAATGAGGATGAGACAGAAGATGAAGAAGGGTCAAGCAAGGACAAAGGAAAGCTGAGTTAATCCAGTTTAGCTGGTGGAATGAGCCTCCCATGCCCTCAACCATGATTCAGTTCTGTCTCACACATACTGGTCATCTCCACAGATGTGTGCTCTGTGCTTTTCTGAACTAAGATTCCAGGCTGCTTCCAAAGCTCTGGAAATTTCACCCACTTTAGGAGGGCCCCAAGTGTACAAGATAGCCCCAGAATACCTGAGATCACATATACCAAATAGAGGCACCTGTCTGGGTCTTAAGGGCATTAGGGGGTCTGACAGCTAATGTTTAATGTGAGACTCTTTAAACAGCAGCACCTGTTAGTTAATCTAACCATTAAAATGAAACAAGGCTCAGAGGCGACCTCAGCTGTGTGAGACTGCAGAAGATGAATAACTGGGTTGGGGTGCTGCTATTTAAAGACTGATGTTTCTCCTCTAGTTCTCACCTCCCAGGTGTTGTACAAGCTCAGCCAAGAGCATGATTCAGTACAGAGCTTACCAACATGGTGCTTACTTGTCATATAGCTCATAACACGGGTAGCCAGCTCCGCATAATCCAAGTTCATCCCATCCGCAGTGGTGATGACTCCAGGTGGGCCCGGAGGGCCTGGAGGGCCTTGGGCACCAGTCAAATATTGCCTTACATTGTCACCTAGATAGGAAGCCCAAGATATATCCACATCAGGAGAGGGAAGACAATGACCACAAGCACAATTACTGGACCCTCTTCTCCTGGCAAAAAAGCAGGCCAACAGAAGGACACTTCTGCAGACACCACAGTGGGCAATGGCACTTCACAGTATTCAACAGAAATAAGACCAGAGCAGTAAGGCTGCTGTTTCTAAAGGGAGGGTGACATGGGGCTCAGGGAGAAAGGCATGCTCCTGCTGAGCCACGGCAAACTCTCATTATACTCACTCTTCAGGTAGTCAGTGATATACTGCTGAATCTCCTGAGATGAACTTCCACCTGGGCCAGGAGGACCGGGTGGCCCGGGAGGTCCAGGGGGTCCTTGTCTGGATCCACCTACAGAAAGCATGGTAAAGAGAAGGCATGCTTGCAGTAGACCAAAGGATGCTAAAGTGTGCTTGCACTGAGCCCTTCCCACAGGTCTGGAAATAGCTTTGGGAATGGACAGTGGAGAGGGTCCCCCTCCATCTCTAAACACAGTCTAGGCATAGGCTATTAGGCAGTATATTGTCTTCAATTCATTCAGCATCTTATAATTCAGCCTGTGCAGCTCTGCAGGGCTGAGTCCAGAGACCTCCCTGGCTTTGTACTTACAGACCTGGCCAGTTCATGCCCCAGAGTGCAATGCTGTGTGGAAATATAGATGGAATTCCATAAAGTGCAGAAGCTCATTAGTTTAACCTCATTGCCCTGCTGCTCCCAGCCTGGGCAGCACCAGCTCAAGAACCCCAACACTCATCTCCATTGCAAGATACAGGTAGGTCCTGTATGACTCCTGTCACCATGTTGTCACGTGACACCTCATGTTCATTAAGGTGTTTTCCTATGCTCCTGAAGTAGTATTCCTATGATGTAGAGAATCATCAGGGGGTTTCTTCATATGGAGGGACACTTAGGTTAATACATATGCACTTTCTGTGAAACTGCACTAATATCCTGCATACACAGATGCTCTTACTGAGAATGAAAGCAGCTTAATTCACATGAACCCACCTGAAGGTAGGTAAAACTGAACAAAGGACCCTTCTAATCAGATTTTCCACTAGAGGGTTCAATGCAGCTTCTCTAATCCCTCGTAGAACATGGTTAGCCAACCCAGAATCCCTTTCTTTCATATGCCATGAGGAAAAACTCAAAGGATTCCCAGTAAGCTGATAACAGAAAACTTGCAGCTCTTAAATTATCTGATAAAAAGCAGATTGTGCAAAAAGAGGTTTTGAACACAAATCCCATCAGCATTAGGTTGGCACCCACAGCTGTAAAACCTGAAGGAGCTTTTTCAAAGTAATTTCAGAGGATGTCAGCATTCCTTGATAGTCTCAGAGCAATGATGGTCTGGCCTCTTACCTCGAGATGCTCCTGGGATGCCAGGAGCGCCTGGGACACCTGCATCACCTGGAAACCAGAGCGAGGGAGACAGACAATTGTAATGGGTGACAATGCACGTTGCATACTTGGTCATGTAAAACAGTTGAGCTATGTGTTGTCAGAGAAGCAACTACCTAGTCTTGTAATGACTATCTTGAATTAGCAGCTTGCTGGGGAAGAGCAGAAGGAAGGGGCCACAGCAGCTTTCCTGAGTGTTCTGTGACCTGCCCATGTGCCTTGTGCTCAGAGCGTTTCTATTGCCATGGTCCTGCTCTGCCTGAAAAGGCAGTGGTGAGCACAGATGAGGTTTCCAAAGGACCAGGTTAGTCCGTGCTTTAGTGTCAACCAGTCTTGGTTGTGTGAGGCTACCAGCAAAGAAAGAAATAAGATTCTTAACTTCACCTTTGGGTCCAGGTGGGCCTGGTGGGCCTGGAGGTCCCTGTATGGTGACTCCCTCACCTGCCAATTGCAGAAGAAGAGTCAGAGATTCACAGGAATAAAACACATGGACAAAATCCTGGCTCCGCTAAAACTAAGCTAGAATCAGTAGAGCAGGATTTTGTCCCCTGATTTCAGTCTAGGGACAACGAATTAAAAGGAGGAAAGGGTACACAGACTAACCATGGGAGGAGAATGCTGAAAGACCAGGCTCACCCGGTTCCCCTGCATGGGACACAGAAATGATGGAGCAGTCACATACATAGGCAAGCTACCCTGCACTCCACTGCTGTCTCCTGGAAGCCTCCTTACCTCTGAATCCTTGTGGACCTCGTTCACCTGTGAACAGAACAAAGGAACAGTGTTAGCATTTGCCTTGTTCTGATCTGCAACATCCCAGCCTACACTGCAGAGTATTATCATGGCCTTCGATGTGCAAGGCAGAAATGAGCAAGGAACTAGGTGCCACGTTTTCCTGACAGCTGAGAGCTGAGCTCCACTTCACGGGGCCTCCTCCTTGCACTGACCTAGCCAAGTTCAACCTGCATTTTGTGTGGACGTTTCCCCTTTGATGGCAAATCTGAAGCTCTAAATGCTCCTGAACCTAAAGGGCTTGCACAGTTGGGATGGGAATACAGCTATTGCCTTGAATACAGTACCGGAGGCCCATGAATTTGTCCGACAAAGACTGACTTGTTTTACATCAGCAGAGAGGAGTCCTATTTAGTGAGCACTGTGCTAGCTTTCTTACAGCCACAGAAAGGCAGGATGCTTTCTGCTTCCAAGACCTCCCTTCCTTCTTTTCAGTCTGAAGTGCTGAGATCCATCTAGTATCTAGCAGCATATACCCACCTTGGTCTCCCTTCGGGCCTGGTGGGCCTGGTGGACCTGGTGGGCCTGTGAAGAATGCTTCTGTAATTAAAACAAAAGGGTTTCTTCATGACATCCAACAGAACACGACATAAATTTCATCTGTCTCCACCTGGTCCTAGCCAAGGATGTACTCTATGGAACCACAGGTCAGGACATTCACAGGACACAGGTGAGGGAATGAGCGGGAAGAACCTACCTGAGGCAGACATGGAAGACCCTGATCTCCCTGGTGGGCCTGGAGGTCCTGGCAATCCTTCTCCTAGGCAAAAGGGAAACAAAGGTTTTAGGAAGGATAAGGATTTGTAATTGAATGCATTTCAGAGCTGCTACATCTCCAGCCACAGCCATAGCTGAAGTATTTCCAAGTGTAGCCTTGTATCATTGTTTTCTCCACAGACATCCATCCATGTTAGTTATTTTTCATTATCTGTTGGCACCACAGCAGACACAAGACAGAGGAACAACTTCCTTTGTGGTACAGAATGCCTATCCCAGCTGGCCTCCACTACTTTGATACAGAAGATTCATTCCATCACACACCTGACCTGCTCCCCTTTGCTACTGAGCAGAGAGCAAGGAATGGGGTTATGTTCCTGTCTCATGTCCTCCTGCACCTCCCCTCTTCTGGCTGTGAATAGGACATCTGTGTTACAGGAAGTGGATATGTTCCTCATAATAAGAACCACTCCATCTGTCTCCAGCTGGAAGTTAACGCTGGACAAGTAAGGCATAAAGATGGAATTGATGGCAGTTACTTCCTCTCGGACTTGAGAACATTGAGTGTCTTCTCAAAAGGTATGTTTTTTATGAATTACTAGCCTGGCTAGCAAACCTCTGACAAAACAAATCTCCTCTCTTGGGCAGCATCTTGCTGCTGACAAACTATACTGCAGTGAAATTGTTTTAGGAGGAACCCACTATGGGAAATTCTGCTTCCAGTAAAGTCAGCCCAGGTCCAAGATTGCATCTGGGATACCACAAGGCACAGGATAGAGGTACACCTCCCACTTTCCAGGTTTGTTTCAGAGAAAGAAGCTCTTACCTGGGGGGCCACGAGGTCCAGGGGGTCCCTGCACAGATTCACCTGAAGACAAAAGAAACAGGGCTTACCTAGCAAGCTCTATGGCCCAGAAATGTGCCGTGTGCATTAGCATCCCCCTGCTACGTACTGAGCTCTGCTATGTTACGTACCCGGTGGTCCAGGGGGACCTGGTGGTCCTGCTCGCCCTTGTAAATCTGACAGCACTGTGCAAATAAAACACACACAAAAAAGAGAAAATTGTTGCTATGGAGCTAGTGCTGCTATAGAAACTCTGTCATTACATTGCTGTTAGAAGCCTTTACAGTCAAAGGTGGACTAAGGCAGGACCTGGGTGACCTAAGCCAAAGTTAATGCAGAGCGGGGAGAGGAGATACGTGTCTGATTGCCACCATGTAGGTTAGGACATGGAGCAAAATACAGCCCTAAGCAGGCTGGCAGCATACTGGAAACAGAGAGGAGATCTCTCTGGAGAATGATTGCTGAGGGAAGGAGCAAAGGACTCAAAGGCTAGAGAAGGAGGGAAAGAATTTTCCAGGAGAGGAAAGATTCCTTCAAAGAGGGGCAAGTTTGCTAGGAGAACACTATGCAGTCATTATTTTAACAAGCAGCTGCACTGTGTTATCTTGATTTGAGATGTATCCTCACCTCCAAGTTGAGGCACAAACTCAAAGTTCAGTAATGCTGAGATCCAAGACTCCTGAATGGGGGATGGGACAGTACTAAAGCATGATCTGGATATATATGACCCCATTCAGATGGTGATCAGGGAAAGACCATTTCTGATTTTATGCCCTCCTCTACCTTGCCTTTCCTGCACACTTGCAGAGGTCCAAGACCCTAAGAATTCTGATTGTAAGTGCACAACACATCTGGTATTGCACAGAGCAAGCAGACATGTTTCTTGGGATGCTGTTAAACCACTCTGTTCTGCTCCACTTATTTTCCATTTTAAAATAGCATTTGCTCCTCTGTGAATTCATCCTCTAACTCATAGAGAGATTTCAACGGCTGCTGCTCAAATTAGTGTGCCTTTTCAAACTGGTTCTCCTCTTACGGATGGCTCTGTGATCATAGGGAACTGCCCTGTGTGGCTAAAAGGTCAGGCTGAAATCTCATAGCTCTGTGACCATCTCTGCTGCTGGGGGCTGTTCAACAGTCACCATTCCTTAGATTTCTTCTCTGTGACATATGACATGGGCCTGATGCCATCTACTTCCTTTTGAAAGCACTTTGGGATGCACAGATGAGAAGGATGAGAAGGAGGGCAGAAGAGGTAGCTGGTATGGTTATCCCACTGCCAAACATACACACGCATACTTGCCCTATGTCACGTTGAGGGGAAAGAAGTAGAGGCATCTCTGTTAGCTGTGAGAAGGCCTTGAGGCCTCTGGCACTTCTCCAAGCGAAGGAGTGGAAAGGTGGCCCACTTACTTTGAGATGCTAATGATGAGACTTCTGTTCTGATAGTTTCTATCACAGCTTCACCTGGGGATCCCTTCTCGCCCCGTGGACCTTTTTCAGGGAACAAAAGAAGAGAAAGTGAATCATGTAACTGAGAGAGGGTGACATTTTGTACCCACTCCTTACCTCCTTGTCAACGGGTTCAGACTTTGCCTATGTGAACAGGGAGAGTGAACTCAGTCCCTGGCTCTGAGGGACACTGTATTCAAATGTGGAAATTACTGCACAATTTGCCCTAACAGGATCATAGGAAACCAGCTAAGAAAGGTTCTTAGCAGTCAGCTCTGCTCAGGCCTTTCCAAACAGACATCTGTCCAGTTAGCAGCGGTTTCACAGGGACATTATTCTCAATTTCCCTCTAAGTTATTCTCCCACCTTTCAAAATGGCACAAGGTATCAGCTGGACTATATCCCATACCACAGAAAGGCAGCCACACTTGAGAAGTGTCTTAGAAATACCAGCCTCCAGAAAATATAAGAGACAAAAAGACATTTGCAGCATCCACATCACACCGGCTCTTCCCATCCCCCTTCTTCTCTTGGGAAAGAAAAAAAGAATAGAAATTCTTTGCAAGATTCATTAAGCCAAATAATGCAGCAAAATGAACTGAAAGGAAGAAATCTGCAGACAAAAGGGAGAGAGGTTGTGCCAAGGGCTGAGAGAATTAGAAACAAAGGAAAAGTAATGATTTCCATTCTCTTTAAGAAGCAGAATCAAAGCTGATGGTGAATGGTACCTTGCTGTCCAGGGAGACCAGCTGGTCCAACAGGACCTGGTTTCAAAGGAAAAAAAAGAGACTGCATTAGATTTGCCTGGCTGTACTTTACAATAGCAATAGGTCTTTTATAAGAACTGAGACTATAAAATAATCTATTTATTTGCCTGCACAAGTCAATCAAACTGCTATATGGTATTGACTTCATTGATGTCCCATGTATTACCCGAATCTCTGGAAAAGAGGCTTATTTTCCATCATGTGGTAATTAAAGTGCTTGGTGCCCCTTAGACTGAGGAAATAACCAGAGTGTCACTGACCACAGCAGGAATGAGATGATAGGCCTAATCCTCCTCCTGCGCCCTGCTTCAAGCTGAGGCTAGCTGTACCAAACCAGCTCCAAGAAGCTGGAAGTGGCACAGAAATCCCACTAGAACCAGGGCTCAGGACGTATGCTGCCTGACACCAGCATGCTGGAGGGCAGTGTCTGACCTGGAATAGAAGAGTCCCAGGACCAAGCTCATGTTTATGTTTGTCTGTGTGTCTGTGTTTGTATGAAAGGTTTGCATACACTAAATGTGGGATTTCTGCTGTCTTGAATTCAAAGCTAGGACTGGAAAACAAACACTTCCTGATCTTGGTGACAGTGCTGGGAAAGGGATTAGACACTAGCCTGCTTTCCTGAGACGCAAAAGAGCTTGATTCTACTCACTGTATTTGACCTACCACTATTTAGTACTCATCAGATCAAAGGACAAGAACAGTGTTCCCAGTTTCTTCATCTTCTCAGCACTCCCTTCTCTCCTACCCCCTCTGTGATTGTACCCCATTAGTCCCTTGAGGTTGCTGCCTTCCTAACTCAACCTGAGATCTTGGTCTTTCTGCAGGGAAGGGTGAGGACCATGAGTCCTGCCTGAGCAATCTTGCCACCCAGACAGGGCAGGCTGGCAGAGCTCATAAACATCACACATTAAATTAAGAACTGGATCCACAGTGATGTAAGCTGCCTGCAAAAACCACAGCAGAAGAACAGCTTCCTCACCTGGAACACCTGGGGGTCCAGTGGGGCCAGCTGGGCCAGGAGGACCTGGTGGGCCTGGCAGAGCAATAGTTGAGGAACCCTCTGAAACACAAGCACATACACTTGTACACATACACATACATACACACATCCAGTGAACGTATAACAAATCTATCCTTAAGGAATCACACATCTATAGCATATGTATTCTCCCAACACAGGGAGTCCCAGTACAGGTCCGACACATAATCAAGATGAATTTAGGAGGCACAGAGAAAACCAGTGTCCTGGGTTCAGCAGTAGCAGTCATTTTTCTCCTTCTTAGTAGCTGGTGCAGTGCTGTGGTTTTGACTTTCAGCCTGGGAACAGCGCTGATAACACCGATAGTTTTAGTTACTGCTCAGATGTTCAGTCTGACCAAGGACTTTGTGAGCCTCATGCTCTGCTAGGGAGGAGGGGAAGCTGGCAGGAAGCAGAGACAGGACACCTGACCCAAACTAGCCAAAGAGGTATTCCATACCACAGCACGTCATGGCCAGGATGTAACTGAGAGTTACAAGGAAGGGCTAGTTCACTGCTTGGTTGGGCTGGGTACTGACATGTGGTGAGCGGTTGTATTCTCTTCCCTTGTTATTTCCCTTACCATTATTATCATTGGTGGTAGCAGCAGTGATTTGTGTTATACCTTAGTCACTGGACTGTTCTTATCTCAACCCATGGGAGTTACATTCTTTCGATTCTCCTCCCCATCCCTTTGGGAGTGGGGGAGAGGAAAAAAGGTGGGGAGTGAGTGAGAGGGCTGGGTGGCTGACTTAAGGCCTGGGCTTAAACCACAACAACCAGAGATAGTCCTCCAAAAGCAGATGTATTTGAACTCTCACAGCACTACTTACCAGCACTTACAACTTTTCCCGGAGCTCCAGGTTCTCCTAAGAAAACAGAGACAAAAGATAAACTTCTGTTTTGGGGAAAATCTGTCACTAGCTCAACATCTTTGTCTTATTAAACATGTGATTTCTATTCTCTTTGCCCTTGATCTCTTGTCTGAGAAGTCATAGCACTAGAAAGTCATGGGGGAAGCAACAGCATTTAGCTGTAGACATCCTCGGATCAGCTTCCCAGGCACTACATCTGTCAGCACAGGCGATAGGCCTTGACTTAGCTGAGACAGCCACACAGCTTCCATGGCAGTCAGCAGCCATCATACTCATATGCTAAGGGCAAAACCAGGTTTGCTAAGGTTTTCTAAGTGTAGAACTTAGATGCCCTGCCTTTCCTGTATACTCAGGCAGGCTTTGCCTACCATCTATTTCTTAAACCTTCCCTTCCTAAAGCCACTAGATGCCACTGTTGATTCAGGGACTGATCACTAGAGCAGATAATCCTCCCGAAAATGAAGTGCTTGGAGAGAAAATGAGTACTGGGGAAGAAACAAAACTCACCTTTAGCCCCTGGTAGGCCTGGGTTGCCTGGAAGTCCTGATAAGAGGTGGACAAACAATTTTAAAAGGTTAGTGCAAACATTCTTTGCTCTGTTTTTTCCGCATACTGCAGTTGAGTTTCACTTGTGGATTTATAGAAGGAGCTCCCTACTCAAGACCCTGGCTTTCAGCATTTAACAAGCAGGTCACTGGCAGCAAGTGGAGGAATTCACAGTGGATTCTAGACTGACCTGTAATGTCCTTGGGTGTAGTTAAGGGCTTCCTTTCTCTCATTGCTCCCTGGATGATAGCCCTCCTAGATTTACCTGTAGCTTCTTCCAGGTACTGCTCCCTGGCTTGAGGCTCCTGGATAAATTCCCTTGTGATTTGCTCCCCAAATCACCTCTGCTTGCAGACATCACTTCCTCTGTTTCCACCTCTATTGCTACATCTTCTCTCCTCTGTTTCTGCTGCTGACTAGAAGGACTTTTCAGTGACGCATAGGGAACTGAAACATATTATTTGCTGCAAACTGTGTTTTAGGAGAGCTAAACTTGCCACACTCCAAGGCTCTGCATTGCTAAGAACTACACACCAACCACAAAACCCGTCTCAGAAGCCAAAGGACATGCAGAAACCTTAGGATCTCACTTTGGAAGACCCAAGCAGCACCGAGGGAAAATTAAAAAGGGTTTCTTTGAGCCCATATCAAAGTGTGTCATTGACAAATTGGAACATGGTGGAAAAGCCTACCTGGTGGTCCTTGGGGTCCTGTGAGACCTGGAAGAAAAAGACAAAAGTTCTAAGAAGTTTCAGGTGGAGAAAGGATAGACAGGGAGAAAAAGATTACATTTACTTGAAATTGAAACACATGATTCACAAGGGGTGTAAACTGGCTTAGCATCTGGTAGGTAAACTGAATGTTGGCTCATAGCAGTTGATGTTCTTGTCTGCAGCATGTGCAATCCTGAGATCACAAAGGGTCTAGATTCCCTGTGTGTCTCCCTTTCATCACCATCTTACAGTACAGAGATCCTCTGCAAGCCTTAAATTAAGACTGGGAATTGTTGACAAAGACATCTGTGTTCCTGACTAAGCAATAGCATTTTTGTTCCCTGTATGCTTTTACTTGGTTCTCCTGCATCTCCAGAGGGTCCTGGGGGGCCTCGGGCTCCTGGCATTCCCATAAGACCTGGTTCACCTAGGGATATAAGCACCATTAACAAGCCAGAAGTCCCTGACTTACAGTCTGCCAATTCATTCAAGCTTGGCCACCAGCTGTCCTGCTGCACTTTCCACCTATTGTATCCTCACAGCCAACTGGCCATTTCCAGGATGAGAGTCTGGGAGATGAAGATCAATGACAGAAGAGTGCTGTAGTGAGAAGAACTGTCACAAGTTTACAGTCAGCTCCATTATATGTCTCAGTTCCATGCTTACATGGTTGACGCTACAGTTCTGAGACAGCAAGATCCCAAAACCTGAATCTACTGCCATCTTTTCCCACCTCTTTCACAAATTAACCTCCTGCCAAATCAGAAAGTACCTGTACTTCTACCTCAGAGAAATCCCTTACCTTTTTCACCTGGCTGTCCATCACGGCCAGCTTGTCCTGTCCAAAGAAAAGAGATTGTTAGGAACCACTGCAGTAGTACACAGTTGCACTGTCCTACAAAGCAGAGCACAGTTCTAAACACAAGAGGGTGGTTTTTCATCATATTGCATCCAAAAAGAAACCTTGCCTGCAGTTACTGAAGATCTAGAAAATAATCACTTGAAATTTAACTGTAGATCATCTTTTCTGAGTATACAGGCTAATCATAGGGTTAGGGTTGGAAAGGACCTTAAGATCATCTAGTTCCAACGCCCCTGCCATGGGCAGGGACACCTCACACTAAACCATCTCACCCAAGGCTCTGTCCAACCTGGCCCTGAAAACCACCAGGGATAGAGCATTCACAGCTTCCCTGGGCAACCCATTCCAGTGCCTCACCACCCTCACAGTAAAGAACTTCTTCCTTATATCCAATCTAAACTTTCCCTGTTTAAGTTTTAACCCATTACCCCTTGTTCTATCACTACAGTCCCTAATGAAGAGTCCATCCCCAGCATCCTTACAGACCCCCTTCAGGTACTGGAACACTTCTATGAGGTCTCCACACAGCCTTCTTTTCTCCAGGCTGAACAGCCCCAGCTTTCTCAGCCTGTCTTCATAACAGGAATAATCTTAGCTATCTAGAGAAAAGACCTAGGATCAAAAGTATGATTCCACTCCCATATTGTTTCCTTGTCTATGCTCATAAACACACATTCTGCATGGAAATAACATTGCCTCACATCTAAACACAGCTGTTTTCTGTTGCCCACCTGCAGGTCCTTTAGCCCCTGGCTCTCCTGGAGGACCAGGAGTTCCTCTTGAGCCTTGTTCACCTGCAGCAAAATGGTATGAAAATGAATCAATCAAATCTTGGTGAATATACAATTTATGACTGTCAGCAATAGTGGGTGTTCTGCATTGACAGGATGTTCAGGTCTCATGATTTGTGACTGTCTCTGGGCGTTAGAAAAAGCTCAAGCAACATGAATACAGGGCATGTGAGGGAGAATTTCCCTAAAGCTAAATACAAAGATTGCTACCAAGATTACTGAAACAAGAATGGGATCTATTTGTTTAAAACTTGGGTGCAAAAATAAAACTCCTATAACCAGTAATGTCATTATACTTTTTTTCAGAAGACTAACTTGGATTGGCTGGGCTATACTGTTATTTGAAACTCAAATAACAAATGTGTGTATTAGGTAAGCTGCTACTCCAGGAAAACAATTCACTGACCTGTCATTCCACGAGAACCCTTCTCACCCTGATCACCTGTGGTACAGAAAAGGGAAGGATTCTGTGATATTGTTTCATTGTAAAATGTTTCCATCAGAGAAAATAAAGTCTGCTTTCTGACACTAGCACAGAAGAAAAAGCCAAAAGAGGCTAGGGTTAATACCCATGGACAGTATCCACCTCTAAAAAATCTAAAGAAAATATCCACAAAGACAGTGGATATAACTGATCAACATACCTTTGGGTCCAGGGGCTCCAGCAGCTCCTTTCTCACCTGAAAGATATATGGGTGATTGAAGAATAACAAGAAGTCAGAAGGGAATCTAACGTATCAAGAAAAATCAAGGGAAATACAGATGCTCTGATACCAAACAAACTCAAACCATAAATTCCTTTGCTTCAATACAGCTCCATCCATCCAACCCCATTTCCTCACCTAGACTGCTCTATTGACTCTGTGTCTCCTGTATTTCTCAATACTTATTTGCAATTGCTAACTAAGTTTAGTTCCTCATCCTCTTTCCTCAGTCTTAACTCTTTCCTTTGCCCCTAGCATCAAAATGCTTCATGCTCAGACCAAGTCTGCTACTCAGGGCAGTGCTGGAAAAGTACATCAGTAGTTAGTGCTGCTGTAATTGCCAAGGGGAAGAGAAGCATACCTTTAGCACCTGGGAGACCTGCTTCTCCTCTAAACCCTTGTAGGCCAGGAGGACCTGCAGAAAAATGAGATGGGGGGTTTAATTCATCCCACTGACCATTATGCGCCACTGAAGAAGAAAAGCTATGAGAAGCTGTCACTCTGGTTTTGTTTTCTCTAGTCTCTATATTTAATAGCAAAAGAATGCAGCACTCACCTGGAGGACCTTGTGGGCCTGGAGAACCCATCAGACCTGTGAATAAGGAACATGGATTCTCTTTCAGTAACACCACAATTAGAAAATTAACTTTCAGTTTGGCATCCACAACACAATAGGTGTTCAGCAGGTTGGAATTCCCTCAGCCACTGAAAGAATTTGCATCACCAGCATCCCCAAACCCATGACAACAAATCTACACAACTTAGTTTTTGTGATGTGGAGTAAGTGGTTTTCCCTACAGGTAAAGAGACTCAAGCCTTCCACTTTGGCTGGGATGCCGGGATCTATACTTCAGGGGGGACCAAATTTTTCATAGTGCATTTTTTATTGCAGTTACATGTATTGTAGAGCTGTAACTGTGAGAAGCCTGTTAGGATATGGAGCTTACCTTATTATTTCTGAAAGCAGAGAAAAAAACAGTTGGAAACATCACACATCTTAAAGACTGGTGCTTTGCAAAACCCTGCCAATCCTCATTCTCACTTAAAAATATCCAAGAATTTATTGCTCTAAAGGTTATGTGTACCTACCAAAGTAAATTTTATCTAAAATGAGGACCATTCATTCACTTTTCATGACTGCAGTGCAACACAAGTGAAACAGGAAGGCTGGAGTGCTTATTTACTCCTAACCAGTCTGCTAGGCTCTCTCTGTTCATCTCCATATTTACCTTTAAGGCCAGCAGAACCCGGGGGACCAGGTGGCCCTGGAGGACCTGGCTCACCAATACCACCTGTAAGGGAAGAGCATGAATAGATAATTGTGATCCTGTGTTTCCATTATTTTCCATTATGCTTTCTCTGGCAAGTGTCATGATTAATCTGCTGGTCAGTTTGAAACACCAAAGTAAGCATTCATTGTCCAAGAAAGAAATCCCATTTCATTGGGATTCAGGATGAGCAAGAAATCCCCCAGCTTTGGTGACTTGGGTAACAGGGAAGGTGACCTTGATACTAAGTACTTTTGTTTCTGCTAAAGTCAAACCTGACTGTGAGACCTGGCAAACCAAAGAACCCTTGTTTACTCAAGTATGGCAAAAAAATCCTTTAGTCCAGATTTGTCTGTGCTGGAAAATGTCTAAAATAACATCTGGATTTGAATAATTAAGTACTATCACTGAGGTGTTTTATAAATCAAACAAATAGGACCAAACTCTAGCTTTTGTTCATCTCTGCTTTATCCAAAAATGGGACACCTAGATCCTACCTCTGTCTCCTTTTTCTCCAAATCCTGGTGGTCCAGGCTCCCCTCGAGGCCCTGGTAGCCCTTCTCGACCTCTCTGTCCCATAGGACCTTCCATGCCTGGATCACCTACAGGAAACAAATGCCTTGTAAAAAAAGGTGTCTTTAGGGAAGGCTTGGGCAAAAGGATCCATGGCCACCTCCATAGGGGAAGGAAACGATCACACCAACTTGGACTCTGTATTCCTATGCCACATGTCAATCAACTGCAAGAGACTCACAGCATTGACAGAGATGCTTACCCATGCTGCCTTTCTGTCCTTTTGGTCCTTCTGGTCCTTGGCGTCCAATTGGACCAGGAATGCCTGGAAAATAAAACACAACAAATGTTCAGAGTTTCTGTCTGGGTGCCATGAAAGAATAACATGTAAATGAGGGGAACCTGAACCCTGGAGGGATTCATCAGCTAGGGTAAAGAAGATATTACTTGGAAGGTAGGTACTTGAACAGGGATCTCTTTGGAAGAACACAATACTTCTAAGAGCACGAGAAAGTTGGGCCAAGTACTCATGCAGCTGTGGGACTCTTTCAGAGGTAGGCTGGGATCTTTACAACCTCAAATTAGGCATGTTTGGCTAAGTGGAAATCAGGCTGAGGCCTTGCTTGTAACCAAGCCTCCCAGCTGTGCCTGTAGCTCAGCACCAAGTGACTTAATCAAGTGACTTAGTCTATGCTAAATATTGACTCTTTAGAGAACCACCTTGAGCTAGCTGTGCAGTTCAAAATTTGTTCCTGCCTACAGTAATGTCACTAAATGTCCTCCCTCAAAGGGGAATTGTACTATTGCCTACCTGGGACACCAGGAAGTCCTCGCTCTCCTGTAGAGAGAAAGAAAAAGACATTCAGTGGGGAATAGGTCTTCCCTGTTTGTCACTTTAGCAAACCTTAAAGCCCCATATAAAGGGCTTTATGTTCCTAGCAAGTTTATAAGTTCTAACACTTCCAGCAATACCACATTGGCCTTCTTGTATTTATGCATTGGACTGAATCATTCACACCATGCAAAATTCTCTGAAGCACTCTGTGATTAAAGCAGGTAGAGCTTGGCTTCAGGAATGACTTTCATCTAGGTGAAAGAAGTTTCTAGATTCAAAGTGAGATCTGCTATGTCTTCTAACGTGAACTCTAAAACTGTCCTGTCTGGAAGAAGAGAAAAAAACCTCAATCATCATAACAGTGTCTGAACTAGAGAATGCATCAGTTTCTCCATTTTACTTGTGGAGTAACAAAAATCCACCTGTTACCCAGGCCCTGTGGCAGGCTGCTGATCTACCTGAGAAAGCAGGTAACTCCCAACTCACCTCTGGGACCTTGCATTCCCATGTCACCTAAGTGGGAAAAAAAATTAAATTAGGAGAGATGCTAGAGCTATTTCCAACACCTATTCATTCATTTTGTTTTTCTGGTTGCTTTCCCACCTTCAATGAAATACAAAGGAGTTTTGGGTGAACAGGGATACTTCACACTTGAACAGTGCAGGATCAGACCCATTGCATTAGTGGTGCAATGCAAGATTCGACTTCCTGTATTAGTTCTGCATGGGATCAGGCCCTCTACACTTCATACAGCAAACTAGCTTTACACTCTAGTAGGACAAGGAAGGAGATCATCCCTTTGTATTTGGCACTGGTGAGACTGCACCTAGAACAACATGTTTTTGGTCTCCTCACTACAAGAGAGATATTAAGGTGCTGGAGCAGGTCCAGAGAAGGGCAAAAAAGCTGGAGCACAAGTGTGATGAGGAGTGGCTGAGGGAACTGGCGTTGTTCAGTCTGGAGAAGAGAAGGGTCAGGGGAGACCTTATCAGTCTCTACAACTACCTGAAAGGGGGATGGAGAGAGGAGGAGGCTGGTTTCTTCTCCTGAGTAACAAGCAATAGGACAAGGGGAAACAGCCTCAAGTTGTGCCGGGGGAGTTTTCGATTGGATATTAGGAACAATTTCTTCACCAAGAGGGTTGTCAAACACTGGAACAGGTGCTCAGGGAGCTGGCTGAGTCACCAGTTCTGGAACTATTTAAAAGACGTTTAGAAGTGGCACTTGGGGACATGGTTTAGTGGTGGACTTGGAAGTGTTATGTTTACAGTTGGACTGGATGATCTTAAAGGTCTTTTCCAACCTAAAGGATTATGTGATTCTTTTTGTTCAAGTATAAACCGGATTCATCTTTCTCACTGGCAGTTGCTGCCTCTGGCAACATCCAGCCCAAACTTGGGCATTGCCAGAGTAAGGAATAGGACAGGGGAAGAGAAGGACTATATGGTTGTACCTTTCTCACCAGGTTCTCCTCTCTCCCCTCGGAAGTAGCCTGTAACAGAAAGTGAAGGGGCTCTTAGAGCTCATCACACAACAGAATAGCTACTTGCTTCATGTACAAGGATCCTTCTATTTGGAGCTTGAGTCTGTAGGCAGCACAGGCTATCAAGCCCAGCACAGCTTTCTAAGTAGTTTTCTCAGCAAATTTGCTTTTGCAAATACATGAAACCTCTGAAGCTGGGAGAATGGATGCTCCTCTGATCTTAACCTATTTCCATCATCTGCTAAACAGAAGTAAATTGTTTTCCCTTTCTAACAAAAGTAGCATGAGAAACAAAGTGTGGGCTCATTTTTCTGGGTAGTTCTTTCAAAATGGAAAGCTTCTTTGCTGCAGCAAACATGGTACGACCTGTCACAGGATGGCATATCCACAAACTTCTTTCTTCTCTTTTCTGCTGCATTTTAAGAGATGCACCACCAGCGTAAGTGGTAGCTCTCTGAGCTCCAGCACAGCCTGTCTGTGAGGACAGGTAAGGGCATTATTTTTGGCAGACTTCATTGCACTCTAGAAGTCCTGATCTTTAGGCCCTTGGGCAAGAAAATCTTCCCACTCCCTTCCAAATAACCTGGTCTCAGGCAGCACCACAGCTATTCACTCTGCTCACCTCGTTCCATTTCCTTGTTCAGTCTGCTCTTCACCATCAGCCAGACTGCCTCTTCATTTTCATAAGGGAAGCTTGAGGAGGGTGAAATACCATGAAGAAAGTCTACTCTTGAAACATCCTTTTCTATTTTTGAATTCCCTTGGTTAATTGCCAGAAGGCCGCCATTGATTCTTTCCAGGTCTTCCACACGAGCTTTCAGCTTTCGCACCTCTTCCGCTGGAAGTTAAAGTAAAATGCTAGGGAACAGCTGTTGCCACAGATGCATGCCTGAAATACCTACTTCTAACAGCAGGGATCAGGCAACACTGTGTCAGATAGCTATGGCCACTGAGTTTTGCAGGACTGCTTTTTGTATTTATTCTTCTAGCAGGGATATCTGAAGTTAAAATGACAACTTTGGAATCTGTTAGTCTCTGAGAAGACCTCAGATCTCAGTAGTTTTCCTAACCTACTCACCTCAAGACTACATAACCCCTCATTAAAGTTTTATATTCCTTATCCATTCTTTCTGTACATTTGTAATATCTTAGTGGCAGTCAAGTTGAATGTGCTCCTCCTCATCTCTTTGGCTTGCTGTCTCTGGTAATTGGCCTCTTTACCAGCTTATGCCCTCTTTCTATCCCATTCAACATTTTGTTCCTCAGTTATTTCTTACCCAGAGCTATGAGTCCAAAAAGCAATCCAAGGAGAAGCAACCAGGCCAGAAGCAAACCCAGGAGCCATTTCCACCAGCTACAGCAGGAACTACAGGGACACCAGGATGGTGCTGATCCGACTGCACCCCCCACATCACCATTCCGTATTTCTGGAAGAAGGAAGGGGCAGTCTCCTGGTTAATGAAGTGTTCCTTAACTTCAATCAATAATCTCTTATAATAAGGACACCAAGTCTAATCCATTATACAAAGGGCTATGGAGAAAAATCTTTACATCCCACTCTGCACACGGTGCATGTAACTCTTGTCCCTGTGGAAGCTGGGAACATCATTCTCAATGAGAATTCCAACAGGGGACAACACTCAGTGCATTTTATGATAACAACTGAAAAATATGGTTCCCTTGAGATCACCCATGTCACTTAAGGATTGTTTTTTTTACATATCGTGCTTTGGCACTTCTTCCAGTTAAAGTCTAAATTGCATCAGTTACCTGCATAAGCTGCTTTGTCCCTTGTTGCTGCTGATTTTAGTCCTCCTGTTTTAACAGCAATAAAAGAGGTTTTAAAAGTCTTTCTGTGCATTACTGAAGTTAGAGCATTAGCTTGAAAGAGGAAGGCAGTAATGGAAGCAGGAGGAAGTTCTATTCTTTTTTCCACAAGGACAAACTCTTACCATTTGCATCTGATTTTATGCCAGTATCTGTAGTATAAGAGGAGGTCAATCCCTGCTTCTCTTTCTTCAAAGTGTCTTCTGCAAAGGATCCTGAACAGGTAATTAAAATCATTACATCAGAAGTTCATCCAAGCCTATTTTTCTCTTTGGCAAAAGGCATATTTTTCATTGGGATGACAAAATAGCTCTGCCTTTTTTTTTCTTTCAAAGCTCCTGAGCTTTGCAAAATATTCCAAGGCACAATCTGAAGCTTCAAATGCAAAAGCTAGACCTAGATTGCAGCTGCCACAGTCAAAGGCTAACTGCCTGTCAGAGCTTCGTTTGACTTGTAGAGTTTTGAGTCAGATGTCCTGAACTCTGAACTCCCCCCATTTCTCTGCCCTAGCATATCCACATGTCCAGAAGAAAAGTTACCTCCATTAAGTCCAGTGGTAGAGGCACTAAAGACTTTACCACTGTCCTTGTTCATGATCAAGCGCTCCACCTCCTTTGCTGGGGCATTCTCCTTCTCCAGCAGCAGGAACTTGCAGTCTTTGCGCAGAATGTCTTCTCCCTGGGAGCTCAAAACTGTTCCCCCTGCGATATTGATAATGGATTGGAATGAGGAGGAGATGAGTGTGGGCCACTGAGTCATAACTGCAAGCCACAAGCCTTTTGTTCATTAAAATATGCAGTTCCGTTGTGATTGGAGTTGCCACGGTTATAAGCACTGAGTAAGAGACACACTGCTCACTGAAGCTAAGAGGAGACCTGTGTGTGTCATTAGGTTTCTTTACAGATGTGTATTTCACTAGCAGGGAAGCAACTGCAACCAGAAATGGAGAGCGTCTGGAATTCAGTCACATGAAGAAATTATCTGACCAATGATATCTTTGCTTCTCAAACACATTTACTATAGAATCACAGAAACTCAGTCTGAGAGAGACATTCAAGGGCCACCAGAACCAGCACAGGTTAAGTTGAGGAGCAGCTTTAGCAGACCTACTCTGTCAAGCACAAAGGACTCCATATCCTTAGGAGGCAGGCATGGCTATGGGGCACTGAACTGTAGCTTACTGAGGTTTGGCAGAGGCCAAGCAAGGCTCAAAAACATTGGTGTGGTCACCCTTCTGCAATCAGAAAGTACCAAGTATGCTTTGAACAGTGTACGAACCTGAATTTGCACACAAATTGACACAACACTGAAAATCAAGATAACTGTAATGGTATTATTCCATCACTCTAACACAAACCTGGAGTAAACCTGTATTAGAAATGTTATCATAACTTCTGTGGTATTTACACCTATTTTTAAGCCTCATCTTTGGAATTCCTTGGATTACAAAAGAAACTTGGCTTCCCTCACACACACACACACAAAAACCAACCCTAATTTATAGATCTCAGTTGCAGAAGAAAGCTGGATAAGATGAATCCCAACCATTCAAGACTACAGGCCAGGAGAAAGAACTCCTCTCTTTTAAAAACAAATAGTCTGATCATATGTAAGTCAATCCCTTGATTTTTTTCAGTGGTTGAGGCTGGTACTACTGCAAAGTGATGTTTAAGAGCAACCTTGCAAATGTTTTGGCTTCAAATAAAGCATGATTTCACACATGTGATCTTCTATCCGTGACCTACCTGTTGAGCAGAAATAGCTGAAATTAAATCAGCTATTCCATTAGAACAGCTCACTTGCTCATGCTTAGTTTCTAATTAATTTGCTTTCTATTCAGAAAGTTACTGGTAGGAGACCTGGCTAGTGACATGTCCTGCTCCTGAGGAGCAAGTGTTAGTGTCAGTCAGTTGGATGAATCTCTGACTCATTTTTATCATGATATGCTTGTTAAGGCCATGCCTAAACAACTGTGAATGACACACCTGCTGTGGTAGACACACCAGTACTTGCCATGGTGTTGCTCTGTGAAGTGTTCTTCATCCCATATGCTGCAAAGAAGAAATTTGAGAATGAAGAGATGAAGGATAACAAGGTATCCACACACCAACTTGGTCTGCACACCATTTCAAAAGCCTTTTCTCATTCAAGGTATTTAGGACAATTCAAACAAGCAAGGAAATCCCCAGGAAGCAAATCTCTAATGCTTCCATAGGCACTGGGTGCTGTTCTTGCCCATAAGAGGTAAAGGAAATGTTCCTCAATATCACTTTATATGATGCTGTGCCTCAAAAGATGATCATGAAGGAGCCTCTGTCAACATGAACTGTCTAGTCACTATAGAAAAGGTGGGAGAAGGCAGCACACATTGTGTGACCATCACACTTTTTCTAGGCTCAAATTGTACTGACCTGCAGAAGCTGCAGTAGCATTCTGGGGCAGGGTTGAAGAGCTTGGAGACAGGTTGTTTTGAACTCCAAACACTGCAAAGAAAAACATTGCCATAGGGGTTATAGGAGTCCTGCAGTGCAGGTGATATTCCACGTAAAACCAAAACTACCAGTCAGCTGGAGGCATCACAGGACTAAGCATTTCTGTTCAAAGATCTTCCTCACAAGATGTTTTTTTCCTTAGATCATTTTGCTGTATAAGTTATTGCTGCCCCAGGACAATGATGATCACTTTAAAACATGATCTCAAGTTTGACTGTGAGGCCACTCACATGCTAATTCCTGCAGGTAGGGCACTTGGCAAAAAAGTAAATTCAGAAAACTGGCTTGGACTGACCATGGTAGATTTAAGGATCTAACTGTACAGTGTGTACTGTCAAAGTACTGCCCAGAGAGAAGCGAACAGCCTGGCAGGTGACACCTTTGGTGCCAGAATCAGTGTGTACAGTGTACAGGCTGCTCTCATACACCCTGCTCTCTTCGCAGGCCCAGTGAGAGACCCTGCATGATGGCACTGTGCTGCGTAGACACAGTGTGTCTATAGACATGTGTGGATTAGGACACGAGTCTATTTTTTAAGGCATTATCCTGAGTTGTTCTAGGGAAGAAACAGGCTACCCTAACAGACAAATTATTCTCCTTGGAAAATCTCTAGCGTTCCCTGCCTCCCAGACAAAAATCGTCAGGAGCTAACACCAGCTATAGAGGTCTGACTTTGAATAAATCCACTGTAAATATATAGCTGTGGTATGTAGATAAGCTGCTGACACTGAGATGAGGAACAGAAGAGAAATAGAATGACATTGGTACTATTTCATTGTACGTGTCTCTCAGGACTGTGGTGATGAAGGGAATAAGGTAATTCTGACCTGTAGAGGAAGCGCTCAGGCCTGCGTTCAGAGTATGAGTGCTGGGAGCCAGGTTATTTGGGACACCAAAAACTGCAAAAAGAGGAGGTGAAATGTTACTTCTCTGGAATCAGAAATCCAGCGCCCAAAGCTCAGTGGCACACTCACAGAAATTAAGTCAGGGTCACTGTGAAATGCAGTTAATGATATGCACAATAATTGCAGAAAGGAAAAATCTTGACAATTGTGATACCAAACCACTCTGTTACTAAATTGACAAAGGGGAGAAAATCCTGCATCAGACAATTTTCAATCATGTGACAGTGTGAGAAAGCAAAGCTTTTAATAGTATGCTATCATAAAGCTTCCTATTTTTCTCTGCAGCTGGGAAATGCAGCATCCCTGGCATTCAGGTCTTATAATGTATAAACACACTCAACACTTCTAACATTTAAGATTACATCTTTAGTGTATGAGGACTGAAGGATTAGACCCAGTTGTTTTTACAACGGGCTAGGATAATTCAATGTTAACTAGAGTCTAAAACTAGTTTTTATATGGAACGTGAGCCTGACCTCATTGACAAAGCTATCATCAAAATTTTAGAAACAGATCACAATAAGGAAAATATATCCTCACAAAGCGGGGTTTTCAAATAGAGTCAGTGTAGAAGCAGAGAGCACCAAGTTACAGAAAAACAGAGAAAATTCAAGCATAACCCCTGCTATCTCAATTCTCCCATCACTTTAGCTCTTCTTGCCGTGCAAAAACCCCCCACTGCTGTTGACCCAGTTTCATTATGGAATTCTATCCTTCAAGCCTGGACGGTCCAGGAAGCATACCTGAACCTGTAGAGTGAGACATAGCATTGATCAAGGAAGAGCTGTTATGGTATCCACCAAGGGAAGACCCAGCAGGCAGAGTGGATGACCACATGTATGAAGGGAGAGCGGTATTCAGTACGGTTGTATCATATGTCCCCGACACTGTATAAAAACCAAACAGAAGTGTGTTTTGATAAGACCAGGCATATGGCTCAGCATGCATTGCAGCTTTACATGGCAAATAACTTCATCTGCCTTAAATTTCAATTACCCTTGTGGATTCAATGCAGTGACTCCAGATCAACATGGTATAACTGATCTCAAATGACGGGTGATTAAAGCCCATCTGAATTTTAACCAATGGAATAAAGATTGATCTGGTAGCATTATCATTCACAAAACCTTGAAGAGATTTCATTGTTGTTCATGCTGATACTAGAATAAAACACTTCAGTCCACCATTCTGTTAATTAATGATCCTGGGCCATGGGATGTATTTTGCTTCCCACAGGTGGATTTGATTGGTTCACTAGTGTATTGGGCTAAAATTCACAGTTTTAGACAGGATTCGAACCATGTGCAAGTGAAAAGGTATTGCTTGCTCCTAGATACTGGTGGAGGACAGTGGAGTGAATGTGAATACCACTGCCTCAAGCCCTGTGGTGAGGCTTATAAAAGCTGGTTATAGTATTTTAAGTACCACTTCTATTATTTTCAAGTTCTAGTGATCTCTGAAGCGTGTTGTGTGCACAATAAATCAAACACTGACCCAAATGTCTTCAGTGCTATCTCCATCTTTCTTGAAGATAACAGATCAAATTGCTTCAAGAGGTATTTGCTTACAGCTCTTGCCTATGCCAGAAGCACCTCTGAATTAAAGCTGGTGGCAGCAGGAACTGGCTTATTTTTATGGAAATTAGACAAGTAACTAGGATGCTACACAAGATGGCTCTTGTTAGGACAACATCTGGACAGCCCTGCAGCATTCTGACCCTTTTTCTGTATTGCCACCACTGTCTGGGACAGAAACTGTGTTTTCTTACTCAGATGTTCTTAGCAACTGGGTATTTTTATGGCAAATAATGTTTGGAATGGCTCCAGCATTGCCAAGTACCTGACTGAGAGCTCTCCGTAACCATCTTTGTCTCCACCACAGCCTTTTTTGGTATCGGGAGTGTACTTGATGGTGATCGAGTAGGGCTGCAGCTGGCTGATCGACTTCCTTTCAGCAAACGTTTCACATCATCCAGTTCTGTCCCTGTAAGGAAAAGAAACATGTCCAGATCACCCAAAAGCCATTGTTTCATTGATCTATAATCTTGCCCTGGCTAAACCATTCAGTGTCATTTACATGTGTGTCGATGAAGTTGTACTTTCTGGGGGTGCCACTTACTAACAAAGCTTCAGGGCCTCTCTTTCTGGCACTAAGTACAACTACACTCTTGCAAGACCACCATCTAACACACAGCATGCTTCCTTGTTCAGAAAGGGGAGACGAATGTTCTTAACAGGGAAAAGAATTACATGCTGCTGTCATCATGAAGACTGGACCCCAGAGACACTGCAAACATACCCACAGCAGCAACATCCTCTGTCGTATACCTGATCCCCCTGGAATAAAAGCCATGGCACTTACATCTGCCAGAAGGAGATGCACTCTGCAGTCGGACTCGTATTTCACTCTCTGGAAAAAGCAAAAGCAGATCATGAATATGGAGTGAGATGTGTTTGTGCCCTGGGCTGGGAATGAATCTTTAGGCTGAGCCAAATTTTTCCCTTCTTGTTGTCTATGCTCCACCTTGCTGTCTTGCTGCTTTATCTGAACTGCACTTATGGCCCAATGTGAACTGGCTGTAAATTGCTTTGGGTGATTTTTTGTTTTGGGGTCACATTTTGCTACATTTAATTCCAGAGAGGTTTACTCATTGAGGGCCTCTGTTGAAGTCAAAAGCATTGTTACTGCCAGATATACAGAAGGCCTACTCCATATATGCAGTCCTCAATCACATTGATATTCCCACTCATCACAAATATTGTTATTATCGTCCTTCTGGACGCAAACTTAGAGAGCCAAAAGAAGCTTAGTAAGTACACAAATTGCCCACTACTTCTTGGGTAAAATTCACACTACAATGGGCGCTATGATTTAGTCTCTTACAACTTGCTGACTTCTCGACTCACTGAATGTAACCAGGCCAGTTTAAGTAAATATTCTCACTAGGTACTTGATTTTATTACTGACTTCTACTGTCCAGCACAAGCCACTATGGAGTTAATACGATTTGGCTGGGGCAAGCCTTTAAGCTTGCTACCCATAAGCAAACTTATCAGCCAGGACATGTGACACATGCTCCTGAAGATGAAATCTGACAGTGCATGCACTATAAAAGACACACTAGCCTTGGCATTCATGTGGAGAAGCTGATGGATTGGAATTATTTTCTGAAGTAATATGAGAAACTGGAGCTAATTCTCTGGTGTCTGTTTTATTATGTATGGCCTAGTTCTGCTGGGAGCTTATGTAAGTGTGCTAGAGGAGACTGTGAAGATCTGAGGCAGAATAATTGGTAGCTCTGACACTCCAATAGAAGTGTGCAAGAGCACACTTTGATTTATATCCACTGCTAAAATTAACTTGGATAAAGTGACATTATAGTTTCCTCTTCAAGCAGCTGGGAACAGATATTACACACTTACAGACCAAGATAGCCTTTCTTTCCCCAGCATTGCTAATAAATTATTAGAAGACCTGAATGATTTAAACAATGCAGATCTTTAAAGTGATCTAGCTAAATAGACCACAGCAAGACCATAATTTCCTCACCATCTCCTTAGTACGAGCATGATATCATTTCAGGGTATGCCCTTACAGTTTGTAAGATAGATCACGTTAGGAGGAACATGAATACACTATATTCATGTTGATAGCAATTACTATAAATATGTCATAAGCAGGTCACAGAGCACAGACGGATTGAGTTATCATAGTGAACGGACAAAAATGAAAGATGATGTCCTATGCTCCCAGTTGCCCAGCTCCTCAAATAGATCCTCTTTTCTGACAGTCCAAACCACCATGACCTTCACTAGGGTCAATTTTTACACTGAGGGTGCATAAGCAATTGCTTACCGATAAATGGTTCACATCTGCAGTAGCGTAAATCCGCATACCTCATCCTACTACTCTGCACTTACTGACTGCAGCTAAGGAACAGGTCCATTTAACACACCCTGAATAAAAAACAAAAGAGGCTCCTAAAAGAACAGTATCACTCACCTCGACTTTGGCTTCTCCCTCTTGTGGCTGCAGATGCTGTGAACAGCAATGAGAGTAAAGCAATATTAGGGTTTACTGCCCATGACATCTCAGAAAATTAACACATGATCTTGCTCAGAGTGCTCAGACAGTAACCTTTACTTGGGGCACAGTTGGGGAAATTGAACCCTCAGAGTTTTTACCATGCCCCTTTAGACTATAAGGTATCTAAAGAATCAGTAGCACCTTGAGCATTTCTGGACCAATTGCTGTTTCTTTTTGTACTTATAAATGCACACGGATGACAATTGCCCAAAAGGAAGCTAATGAGGCTGTTTACCCCATCAACTAAGGTTGGACACTGTGAAACCCTGCCTTCTCTCTGAGCTCTAAGTCTTTCTGAGAAGGACTGCCTGATCATATTGTTTCACTATGTACAGTGAGTAAAACTGGCAGCTCAGAGTTTAGACAGGGTAACCTCATACCTGCTGACAATGTTTAGTGTAAATATATCACTTGATAGAGAGTTCACCTTCCCATATTAATATGCTGAAGTCTAGAAAATTGCTACTGGAAAAGCATATGTAGCAATGCTCAAGATCATGAGTCTGGGCTTTCTTGCTTGGAGCTGTTCTCCCAGTTATGTATGGCAGAGCAGAGGGAAGGAAATGATACAATGCACGTCATGTCTATGTTCTCCCATCCATGTCCTGTGCCATATGGGGAGCATAACAAGAGCAGCTGAGGGTAGCAGATATACAGTATGCATCCTCTGAGTATGCATCAGCTAGAGACCCTGCTGTCAGCTCTGAATGTAAACCCCAAATAACTCCTCCAAAGTCATGGAGCTGCACTGGCTGCTCAATACAGAGGAAGTATAGGTAGGGCAAGACACAGCAATATGCAAAAAGCCACCGTAGTCACCAACTCACATGACCTTGCCATCAAGTTCAGAGGAACAGCTCTAAAAAGAACATACCAAACTCTTTTCTGGGAAACTCAGGAGAAGAGTTGGCACTGGAGCTCCCTGCAGAGAATAGAAAGGTGTTCATTAATACTTTGCACAAGATCATTAAAAGCTTTCAAAACATGTCTTTCTGGTAACCGTCTAATCCCAGTGGGCAACAAACATTTCCATTTAAAAAAAAAAAAGAGATGTTCAGGATTACATCAAAGGGCTGCTAATGTCTTTCATCAAAAATATGTCACAACTCCTTTTAGGAATGAGCGTTTCTATCCATAGGAGTTAATCATTAAAATGTGTCCCTGACGGCTTATTTCCTAGCAAAACCACAATGGTATTCTTGTGCTATTTGGAACAAACCTGCATTAATGCAACCTCAGAGTTCACTACACATTGCCTCCTTATGGCATATTCTGTGATACCTTCGTATGTTGCATGGCGGTTGACATAGGTTTTTCTTTCAAATGTCGAGCCAGGTGATTTGGTGAGAGTAGAGCTGGGAGACTGGGTTTGTCTGTAGCCAGAAGATGACATTGAATTCAATCTACCACTTCCACCTATAGGTAAAACAAAATACAGTCGGCAAATTGAAGACATGGTCTGGATGTACACTGTGGATGCCCTGGGTGCTTTATGTTGCTGTTGTCTGAGCTGGACAAATTTGCATTGGTACCTCACAACTCTACACTGGCAAGAACAACATTTGGGTCTAACTCTGACTGTTCTCACCATTTAGTGCAGGGAGAAGTATTTGTTATCGTTGTGTTTTCAAAACAAACATTGTCAATGATATATATGACAGTAGGTTTTGGCCTAGGATGATGAATGAGCCATCTCCCCTGAGCAGGACTACCTGGCTCTTGATGGTGCTGGGTTTTGGTTTGGATACAGATCTGCCTGTAAACTCAAGTGTTATATGACACAGACCACAAAAACTGGGAGACTTTAAAGCCAAACTCAAAGTGCTGAAGGATACAGTTCATGAGATAAGGGAAAGCAGAGATAAGTCCACTTCCCTTCCAAAGCAGGTATCCATACTTTCACTTAGTCATGCCTTAGTCAGTTCACTTTCTGGAGAAGTAACTGAGGTGTGCATCAGGCCCAAGGCATCCTGAAGATTTTTAGAGTCTGTTATATTTCAACAGAAGAAAGAATTTCCCTCCTAATTTACATCAGTGATGTGGAGAAAGAACCAAGCAGACATAACTAATGTGTCCATACTCTTGTATGGAATCAAATTCTGGAGTATAAGCAGATAGCAGCAAAAAGGGGGCCCTGTAATAAAGTGCACCATATCCATGCTGATCAGCAGGATCAGACTGGATATTGTTTACCCATCCCTGCAAAAAGAACATGCCCATGTGATCTCAACAGAGTGCTTTCTTGCCAACTTTCCCCTCTACAAGGACCTGTATTGTTCTGTAACTTTTTGACTTAATTCAGCAGGAAGAACTACTGTGACAAGCAAGGCTCTGCTAGAGGCATTCTGCAGGCAGAGATTAGAAAATGCTTCATGAAACGTCAGGAACTCATTATCTCTAAAGTTCAGGTTCTTTTCTCTTCCTCCACACACTCAAAATAAATAACAAGGGAGATGGCAATCCTGCCACAGTTGTCTGAGTTTGCAGGGCTGGGCTCAGTTCTCACACTGGTGCCAGTCCAGACAATTACATTGACATCTCCCTTCACTGGAGTTACTTCACATCTCCTCTGAGGCAAAGTGATTCCATAGTCTAGCTTTTAATTGGTATGGAGGTGTCTGTCAGATCTACTGGGTACGCCTAACCCTCCCGTTGAGCTTCCAGACTGCACTTCACTCCCTTTGGTTTGACAACTCTTTCAGGGCATGGAGGATATTTTTTACAAGGGTAGTTATACAGTCTGGCCCACTGAGGACAGAGAGGGGTGTGCCAGAAACCTGATTAGGAAGCTTATTCTTCAGACACCTTCGCTACAACAATCTAACAGCTGGGCAAAGAATGTTGTTAGAGAAGAACCCACAGAGTAGACAGCACATACTGATTTAGCACATCCAGAAAATCTGGCAGACCGTTTCAAAGTGCTAAGGCCATGGATGAATACACACACAGAGGAAAATATTTTCTAGGAAATTCTGTAATAATATTCTATCCTGAGCAAGATCAACAAAACGATTTGTCAAAACTGTCTTTGGAACAAGAATGGTCAGAATGATTGTGATTCGGAAATCAATCCTGAAAGAAGGAAAATCTGGGTTCTAAATGACTTCCTAACAATAGTAGGAATGACATTTTGTGTTGTTGCTTCCCTGAAATCAAGTTTTCCCTGTGGAAAATGGGAATTTTGCCATTTACTCACTCATCCTCACACCCAGCTTTAGAGAAGGAATACCTTTGTCTTGACTGTTTGCCACTTCTACTTCCACAAATCTTATTTTCCCTACCTCTGGCTCATCCTACTCCCCTGGCCTGAATTTCTCCTCAGATCATTTCAGCTGCCCTTGCTCTCTTTTTGCTCACTGTGCAACGCCCTAATTCCTTACTTGAAGTCACATAGCTGCTGCTATGGGTGTAAGATCTCTTTTCCACTCCACTCCCTCCAGTGTGGGATGACGTTTTGAGCCCACTGCTGCTCCCTCCTTCTGGAAGAGATAAGCACAAAATGAGATATTCTCTCAAGGTAAAAGATCAGAACAGCAGCAACACTGCAAGACAAGCCAGTAGGTACCCAAAGCTGTCCTCACAATAACAAATATAGCTTCATGTCTGGTGAGATACCAAAACTGCAGGGAAGTGTCCTGGCAGGTTAGATAAAACATTCAGACTGCAAACCCAGCAGGTCTGTATTCAAGTTTTGCTCCACAGATGGACTGAAGGATACTCCTGATAACCCTCATCATAAATGAGATGCAATTCCTTTCCAACCCAGCTGGAGCAAGCTAATAAAGAATATGGTGCCACAAAGAGCGTAGAGGATTCTTCCCTGCTTGGTACTTGTACTTCCCTACAGAAGTAGAAATCACCCATGACACCTGACATTACCCAGAAAGATTCACTCACTGTTGTCAGCTGGGTAAGATGACAGAAGAATACACCTCAGCTCCAGCAGTGGAGGCTGCAGACCCATCACTTTTGACCCTTGTCCCCAAGAGACAGTCAGCACTGGAGACCCTCTATCTGGGTTTAAGCCCTTGGAGAGTCTGGTCTACCAGTCTTAGTGGACTATGCAGCTTTGTTTCTGACAGTATCCAGACAGCTTCCCACATCCTACTTCCTGCATATTCTCTAGTAAAAAGTATTTTGGGAGAAGCATTTCTGAAAATAGCTCCTCTTTGGGTGTGAATCTTTTTTGCACGGAGACTGCCCACACCCAGGGATTTATGGAAATAATGTAGTCAAAAAGCATGGAGGAGCACAGAACAGCAGAAGTAATGTAATGACAGTTACTTACTGGGTGGCAAGGACGTCAGTCTTGTGGTCACAGTCTCTGTAATAACTGAAGAAAGAAAAGGATGCAGAAGTATTGGCATGTTAATATAGCCAAACAAGATCAATGTTCTACTTAACTTCCATGGAAGAACATGACTTAGTCAAAGGTGGTCTCATTTAGAGAACAGTCCATTAAGACCACACTGCTTGGAGACTGCAGTCTCATTAGTACCCAATGCTGTGTGTTTTCAAGCCTTCCTACCTCTACAGTAACTAGGGACATGCTGCCATGAAACACTTTTGCTCTTCACAAGATCCCTGTAAAACATGGAAGTACTATTATTCCTGGGCACAGCCATTGCTGGAAGAGCAGCCCCCTTACTAGCTTCCTCCTCGTTAATTCCCATAATGCCAGCAGGAAAACTATCACCTGTTTTACACACAGCCAAAAACCACATCTGAAGACCATCTTCTAGGCCACACAGGCAGCGGTATCAGAGGTAGGAGGAGAGTCCAAATGTCTGCACTACTGGCTAAAAATGTTACCATAGGGCAATCACCTGTGGCTAAATAATCAGGTCATGCTACATGTCTCTGTATGTGTGATTTTGGCCCTTACTCTGTCTTCTACAGAGAGAACAGGGACAGGTGAAGAATTTAGCTCTGGGGCTCTGGTCAGCATTCAATCCCTTAGAAAACTGAGCATCCACTTCTGTGATTTCTGGTGTGTGACTCAGAAAATGTTCTCCTTACGTCTTTCAGTAACTTCTGATCCATCTTGCCTCGTTTTCTTTGTTACAGAATCCATACCATTGCCACCTGCAAGGAAAGCAGACACTGCACTCAGAGCTCTGTGGATAGTAGGATATTACAACAGCTCCCCACAAGGCCCACCACTTTTCTCCCTTCAGCTGTGGAAGACATCTATGATAGGGAGTTTATAATGCCTTCCCAGAGCCATATCAGTATTACTAACAGACCTGCATCACTTTACTACAAAACTGGATGCAGCAGAGCTGAAACAGCAGGAGGGGTTGTGAAGCCAGCAGGTGAAATAAGGGCCATTGAAGCAAATCCACTCAGTGCTCGAGAAGTTTAGACCTGGATTTAAACCCAGACTTTGTGGCACTACACTACTGTCTCCTGTTGTGCCCCTATAAAGGCTTGATCAAAACCACAGGATTGAAATGCTGCTCCCACACATCTGCTTTGGGCAGGACTCAACAGCACAGGATTAGAAATAAAGGCAGCGGCAGGAGTAAGCTATAGGCACCATGCGAGCGCTGCCAGAAACACCTAAGCAGAGATACTGTTGCACTTTCGACAGTAACACTGTGCATTCTCTGGGTAAATCGATGCTAAAGCCACAGCACTGACTTTAGTGACGCCGAAAAACACTGGAGGCACGCTTAAACTAGCTGTTTTCAGCAGCTAGGAACTTAAGGTAGGAAGTGCTTTATCTTGTTTTATAAGCAGAGCAGAGACAGTTTGGAGGCCCTGTCTGCATCTTTGGAATCTGATACAAGTTAATGCCAGCTCAGGTCAGCCTACATAGTACTGGAATCACTGCTGGGAATGCTGTGTCAACTCCCCTTCATACCTTGGATCACACTCGAGTCAAAATTACAGAGTCATACCTCTAGCAGAGGTATAACTGCCTGCCAAGGCAGGAATACCACAAAGAAACATGATTGTGGAAAAACACCAATTAGAAAACATTTCTGTCAGAAGGAAATACACATTTTCTCAATCCTCATCTAAGGTAACATTTTATCTTGTGCAGCCACAAACAATGAAAAGGAAGAGCTTTGAATTTATGCACAAGGTCATAACAGATCAGAACTCTCCAGTGCATTCGAAGACTCCTCCTCAAAACTGAAGACCCAGCTGTATCAAAATGTCCACAAATAACAGGCTGAGTACAAAAAACACACTTTGGGAAAAATTCCTTCCAAGATTCAGAGCCCAGCTTGAGGCAGAACCCAAGACTGTGCCCTCCAATTCAACTCCCATTTGAGTCTGATCCTCATGATTCCACTTACCCTTCTGCAAAGTGTCTACTGAGTACCCCCCTTGATGTTACACTTGCACTGCCCACGCACAAATAGTGGTATAAAGTAGGATGCAGCAGAGAATCTGCAGGAATATCTTAAGTTCAGATTCAGTTCTGCTATTCCCAGAGCTGGACAGCAACAATTTCAGTGTAGAAGACACACTGCCAGTCAAGCCACTTCAGCCTCCTATCACAGACTCAGCTCCAATTTGCAGAGAACACCCACAGTGCCCAGGGCCCTCACTCTCTGCACCTCAGGCCTGAGATTGGCTAAACAGCCCTGTAAACGGAGCTCCTGAGACCACATCCAAGTCTGTACACAACCTTGGCATCAGAATACCATCCACGCCTTACAGTGCTTGCTAACACTGGGGATTTCCATGGGATTATCCAGAGTGCTGATTCCAAGGCATGAGCAAGACTGGAGCTGTATGTGTTAGGAGAGTTCCTCCTCCAGCAGAATAACAGTGCCCTCCAATGGAAGAGTCATTCATTCCAAGAAAAGGCAATCTCTCTGCTATTCTTTACTGCATCAACAATGGAAACATCTTTCAAGCTCCTTCCCTAAAAAGCAGATGCTGGAAGCTGTTGTCAGCACTGTTGGCTTTGCCAGTGTTTTTGGCAGGGAACACAGTTTTGTATTTGGAAACTGCCTTCCTATTGCTTTGTATCCCCGGAACTCCATTCCCTTTCTCCTATTGGGAAGTGGTACTGCTTATGGGTGCTGGAAGAGGGCAGCACCACCACGGAGTTGAATACATCTTCTGCATCTTTGCTTTCCCTTGAGGAAAGGGCTTGCTCTGTTACCAATAAAAATAGTAAAATCACAAGAGGTTAAACCACATCTTTGGAGCCACACATGCCACAGCCCAGCTCCAGCACATGATGCAGTTTGACATATGTTGCATGTGTTAGCCACACGAATGCAAAACCCAGCCCAGGCTCCAGTAGGATGACTGAGCTGGATTTTCATTATGTGCCAGGACTGACTGACTCATTTCACCAGCTCCTATCTGGATTCACAAAGCCGTAGCTGTGGGGTACGTCTGTGGCAAAGCAATAGTGCTATTAAATCAGAGAAGTCACCTGCAATCATCTCTGAGCAACAAGCAGGAACTCATGCAGTGGGATCACTCTCAAACAATGCAGGCAGCATAAGAGAGGGAACCCTATAGCCATTTTAACATAAGCTCAGGGTTTACAGTGTGCTTGTGGCACCCACAAAACCAGGGAACTTGCAGACCGTAACCGTGTGAAGAACCAGGAGAGGTCTAGCACTGGCACACTTGTCCACACTTTTTCCTCTCTGTAGAGCACTGAAAAGCAGGATAGTAACAGCAACCCAGCTTTGCAAAGCATACTTAGATCCATGCTTTCCACATCAGCTTGACACTGCAGGGTGACTCCTGCACCCCCTTTTCCACCTGACTGCAGTGCACCACACTGGCAAGGACACTAAGCCACTGAGATGGGACACTCAAACCCCTCTTACTATCTCAGAATTTAGGTATGGTGTGCAAAGGTAATAAAGTTTATTACAGACATTTTTTCAAAGGGGAGGGGAATAGCCACAAGGACACATTTTAATGGAAAAATGAAAGCAGGCACGTTTCAGATTCCTTTATTCCTCCACAATGTTCTTCCAGTTTTCATGTCAGAATGCTGTTACACCCCCACTGCACATCCTTTCAACTCCCTCCTTCCTCCATTAATAAGGCTCCTGCTGTTAGACACTCCATTAAGAGAAGGAGGCACCAGCAGGTGCTGAGATTAATAACATTTAATGTCAGTGGAATCCTTTGATCACAAATACTCTGAGACTCAGTAGATGTCCCCAAACCATGTCATTGACTATGTTAAAAGCAAATGCCATGTCTTCCATCATATCAAATGTCTCTTAGGGTGCCCCTTTCTCTTAATCAAGCCTTTCAGGTGCTACTGTCCTGGGACTAGAATCACAGAATCAACTGGTTTTTAATAGAGTTTTAAAATGGCCCTTTATCTCTCTTTTTTTTACACCAGTCTAGGAATCTGACCTCCTCATTCTGCTTTAAAACCTATTTCTTTTCAGTTATTCTAACAAAACTAACACAGTCAGAATCAAGTCAACCAAATCTGCTCATTTTGTAGACTCACTGAAACGATGCTCATTCCAAGGAAGCAGGTTAGTGCCCAACCAAAGCCTGGACATGCTGCCAGGATCCAAATGTTTCTCTGCCCACAATCTGTCCCATCTGACAGCAGTATGAGCCCATTTTCCAGAGCACAAGCAGGAGCACTGCCCAGACCTTACTCCACACTGCCAGGTACCTTCCTTTCAAAAACATGTCCTCACTGTCTCTACTTAATTGAGCTACTCGAAGAGAAACAGCCCAAAGCAAGGCCAGTCTGACCCACACAAGCTTCTCGCTTCTGGCACAGAAAGGGAGCCAAACAACCTGGTATTATACAAAATATGTTTGCAGAACAAGCAAGTGGTGCTGTCACCATTCCACAGATGAAGCAACTAGTCACAGAAGAACAAGTAACTTCCCTGAAATCACTCTACAATTCAGTCCAAAGACAGGTCTTTTACCTTATGCTACTGTGTTCAAATTGCCAGACCTGCTGCTGAAAGGTTTCAAACCAATTCTGAAAACAGAGTTCATCAACTTAGTGTGACAAAGCTTCAATAACACCTTACAATGCCTCCTAATCTTCTGTGACAAAAAGGTAGCACGAAGTCCATAGTCAATGAGTCACTGCTGATAAATAAGTCTACTCAGCATAGGGCAAAACAAAGCTTGTTCATGGCAACACAAACTTTCACTCAGAAGCAGTTCCAGGCACTCTCAGGACTAAACATCAACTCCTTAATATTACAGCCTGCACCCACCACCTGAAGCTCTGATTTATTATCATCATTCCTCCAGCACGTTTCAGCTCTGCTCACTTTTAAAACGAGCCAACAGCTGATGTGCATTTCACCATGCTGGTACCCTTGCAGAACAGAGAACATCTAGCTAAGCTTTATCTATTTGCATGGCAGTACCACAAGGTCCATTAAAAATATGCCAGAGCTTGGCTTCACGTTTCTTATCTCCCAGCAGGTACACTCCTTTAACTTGATGCTCACTTTAAAAGAGCAGTAGTCGCTGACAAACACAAACCCTAAATGACCCAGCTCTTACACAAATTTTTACATTGTATTCCCCAGAGAAACATGTAAGACCTCCTCTATTTCGCCTGAGAATTCAGCCTTCCTCTTCAAGGAATCTAGGAGAGAGAAAATAAAGGATACTTTTTTTCTACTCCTTTTTAAGTAATGTAACTTACCTGGAGTGCTTTGCTTACTGAACTGAAAATCTGTTTTTCTCCTCAACCGTTTTCTTTCTACCAGAATTTGCCACCTACACTTTATATCACGTCCTTCCAAAGGTGTGTGGAATCTGAGTGATCATCCAAAAATGTTCACCTCTTCTTTAGTCAACCTGTTTTATTCTCGCCCTTCTTCTGCTTTTCTATTCCCGTGCTCTCAAACAAGTCCCAACAAAGGCGTGTCGTGGTTTCCTGCCTCACCCTACCCTTCCAATTACCTGACACTCACTGGAAAAAAAAGATCTGCCTCCAGGAATCAAACTTTATTGGAAGAAAAAAATTCTCCTGCCTATTTGTTCAGGTAGATTAACTATTTAGATCCCAGACAGACACAGGTGTGAAGGCTTAAGCTGAAGAAAATGAAGTTGTGCCAAAACTTTCTGATACATGATCTGAGCTCTACACTGGTATTTTCTTACAGAGTTACAGAGCACCTGTGGATGTCTCTGCAAAGCTGGCTGCAAACTAAGCATATTTTGCTGCTTGCAATAGAAGGGGCTAAACTTCCAGCTAGTACAAACTGGCTGGAAAGTGCTCAAGTCAGCAATCTGAACTGCATCGCCCACCACATAGATATTTATGCTCTATTCAGAAGGCAGCACTATTAATAAATATAAATACACCAAACTGATTAAGGAACAAAATTTCTTCCGCGTATATCACCTACAGCCTTCACCGAATAGGAAATGGAGCAGCAGAGCAGCCATGGTGTGTCAAAGCAAAGCTTCATCTAACTCACAACCCTGTCTTCCACCATGGCTCACTTTAACAGCCCAAAGAAGACTACGGGAACAGGATAAGCATACAGAGATATTTTCCTGGTGTACAATGGACACTTCCTAAATCAAAAGCAGCAGCATTGCAGTCATTCCTTGATGGGTATTTTCCATTAATTGTCCAATTATTTTTTTTAATCTGTACAACATTTTAAGATGTAGTGTCCTACAGCAAAGATGTTTACAGCTTAATCATACCTTGTGCAAAAACACTTCCACCTACTGAACATGACAGTGCCATTTGGTGTCCTGGGTTTATTTGTAAGAATCAGAACCCACCTTTGCTCCTCTCACCCTACACAGATTTTGACAGGTTTGTACCACAGAATGGGAAAAGAACTTGATGCTTCATGCCTGTTTTTGCACAAACCTTTTAAGGTATCGTAGCTGTGCACTGTCAAGATTGTACTCTGTTCTTTTAAGTCGAAAACTTCCAAAAAGTGTGTAGGCACATGGCTGCTATTCAGCACTACGCTGCCACTCAAAAGGCTACGCCCTATGCTTGTTGATGGGAATCAAGACTCCTTCAGAATTCATCAATGCATCTCCTAAATCACAGAACTTGTAATTATATTTACTTTTAGTCATAAAAACATTTATGAAGCATCATTTCCTCCCTGCATGGAGGAAGCATCCATGACTCTTCCTTCTGAACACTAATCAAAGGACAAGCTGCATGTGGCAAGTAAGTCATTAAGAGGAGTAGAGCTCAGCCTGGGACCTGGCCAAACTGCTCTTGGCTTAAGACTTGATAGAATGATAAAAGTGGATTTACCTTTTTGAACTTCACATTCTTTGAACATGACACTTTACTGTCCCTCTTACTGTCAACCGCACTTTAAACCTGCACTTTGGTCATCCCATTTTACACCTGATTCCAGCACAGTCCAGAGCTGTGTGCTTCAGACATAGCCTGGCTGCTCTCAGACAGAAATTGTTCAAGGCAAAACAGCACTGAATGCACTGGGATATCATAGCTCTGCAAGACCCACCAGTACAGGGAAGATTCACTGGAATGACATAAAGATTTCACTGGAGCAAGAGATTGGACCTCACATTTTAAGATAACATGCTCAGGACTGGAGAAATTTTCTCACTCCTTGACCTTTGTTCACCAGTTTTCTTTACATCGGTATAACCAAAAGTAGCCATCCCAATTTTGATAAAATAAGAAAATTACGGCATTTCAGTCCCTGCAATGTCATCAGTGAGAAAGATACTGGTTTAATGTGTCTTGAGAACAAAGCGTTCACGGAGTGTCTCTTCTTTCTTACTGGAAAGAAAAATAAGAGGATGGTGGGGTAGATGTAGAGGTGCCTTAAAATGAAACTGTTGACTGAGAAGCACTAACTCTGCATTTAAAAGGGGAAATATAGGAGAAGGTAAAGTTGAGGATGCTGCTTGATGAAACACACTGACTACTGCACTCAGGTTCCTAATGGGCATAATTTGGAGAGGTCCTGAGCTGCCTCACATTTCACTGAAGTCACTGATTGGCTCAGGTACCCAAAGCTACTGAAAGTCAGGTGTCTAGCTGGCACAGGGCAATGAACTGCAGCAGACCTAGCTTCAGGTCATCAGCTGCCACTTCTCCAATAACAGTGGTGTTGTGTGAACTGGTGGTTAGAGCAGGGGAGGCACTTTGAGCTCCTCTTGAAGGAGACAGTATCCCTCCTCACATTCCCCCATCTGCCCTGCTCAATTTTGCTTGTAGAAGGTGAAGTCTGTACAGATGGAGTCTGCACTCCTGAAGTACACTGCTCCTAGGTGTACCTGTGAATGTTATACCAGATGCAGAGTCTGCTGCTTTCCCTGTTCCCAACACAAGAAGAAGCTGTACAGACTTTGAACTTTCAACTGACACCTCAGTCTGGCAGCTATAGAGATCAAATCATGGTTGAAGACAGCACTGTTTTCTCTGGTGAAAGATGCTCCAAAAGCCTGCAACTACTGAAGCTGGTACTGAAAAAGCTGAGATGAGGCAGGAGTCTCCACTGCATATTCACTGCACCTGGGAGGGGGCTGTGCTACAGCACATCTGAATCACTTCTCACTCTGCAAGGGGAGCCCAAAGATAAAGAGTCTCAAAGCTGAAGCAGCTGGTTTTGTCACGGCTGTCCTCTGGCAGCTTAAGGGGTGTTCAAGGTTTAGAAACAGCCAAGTGATGATAACTTTTTATCTTCAATTTCAAAGGCAGCTGTGGAGCACAGGATAAGGTGTACATGGGTCTGGTAATTCTGTCTTGATTGACACATAAATTACACAGCTAGTGAATCAGCCAACAAGCTGATTGGAATAGTGCAGGTCTGCACAAGGATGGTTCGCACAGGGAAGAAGAAACCACACCTATTTCTGTGTAGCAACTGCAGTTCTCTCTTCATTTTGCTAATAGAGCTGGGCAGCTACTAAACCAGTCAGAGCCTCCTGAGTCACTCCCTTGACTCAATGCCCCAAGTCCACAATTTGCACATCACTTGAGAAACTCACTGTGAGTAACCTCAGGCATGAATAAAAGTCTTGTGGGGAACTGATCATTGCTTTTGGGGTGCTGGGAGGTGAGTAATGTCAGGATGCAAAAAGCCATTACTAACTCAATCTCCCAGGTTCCAAAAGACGAGTGATCAACAGATGTCTTGGCTGTTTGTACTCCTTAATATAAAACCTCTACAGCTAAGGACTGCCTTTCCCCTATCCTTTTGGCTTTATACAGCATTCCACACAATGGGAGGCTTGCTACAGCTTCTAAGGCTTATCACAGTGCAAATAATAAATAGCAATAATTATAATAAAGCTATATATGCATACGGAGCATTGTAAAACACTGATCCTTCACCGTGCAGGACAAACTGAATTGTACTGGTCCAGAAAGGAGGGTCTAGGCTGTTCTGGTGGAGGGCAGAGACTGGCAAGAGGTGGGTAAAGACTTGGGCTTGCTGCTTTTACTGTTACCATGTGGACAGGAGGAGTGGGACTCTTCAGCAGCAGTAGACGGCTCTCTACCTCTGCTCAGAGACAAGCCAGGATAGACACTAGGTCCCTGATGCTGTTATCGATGCTCTGCAATACAACTGCCTAATAGTTACTAGCAAGTAGCCCAGTCCAAGGGCTGAGAATGGACATGTGCATTGTCTTGTGCATCTGGAACTGCTCCTGATAATGTAAGATTTGGGAACAGGCAGATCCAAACAAAACACATTGGTGACTTCTTACAGCCCCTCTGTCCTCCATGCAGCTTTTAATGCACACTTACGCTTAGGCATATTGTACATTTTGGTACAGGTCAGGCTGTTCGCTGGCAGAGCCAGGAGTTATCATCCATACCAGACTCACCTCTAACGGCAGCAGGGCTGGGATGTTAACAGACCTGTTTGCCAACGTGACTTGCTGCCATCTCTCCTTCTGCCTTTCCACTCCCACCATGGCAATTCAGGAGCTACCCCAGATGTGCAGCAAGCCCCAACATCTGCCAGGGAACACAGCTGTGAAGCTGATGGCCCTGATCAGCGCTGCTCTGAGGGGTATCACTGTGAGCTTAAACTAAGTAATTTTCACCCATAAGGAGCCTCTCCTTCCCTGTGCTGGCTTTCGCTTTGTCCTCTAGGTAAGAGTTGCCTCAACACATGCTCCACACAGCCGCAGAGGTCAGAGCTGGACTGTCTCTCGTTTGATGCGCTAGTTACTCCAAATCAGCCCACTGCCCCACCTGCTTGGTCAAAGACAAAGAAAACCAGTCCTTGAGTGTTTTATTTGGGAGAATTCAAAATCTGATTCACAGAATCAAATAATTACCCATCCCCCAGCTTTTAGAAAACTACTGATTGTTTGCAACCTGTGAAGCCTTAAAACAGTTTTAGCACCAGTGTTTTTTAGAGAAAAAATACGCACCAGAAAATGCACTATTTGCCAACATTACACATCAAATGCTTCAGTCAGCCAGGCAGCAAAGGGACACAACCAATGCCAGATGACCTGGCTGTGGTGTTGCCAATATAAATAATGGAGCAAAGTCAAAGCAAACTGTTTACAAAGAACTGGCAGCAAGCAAAAAAAAAAACCCAACCCCAAACCCAAAAATCCTTTCTGGCAGACGCAAAGCAAACACAGTTGGATTTGTGAATTGCTCACCAGCCATACCCATGGTCAAAATTCCAAGCAATTAGTATTTCAAACAAACAATACAACCAGTTCTACCTGCTGCCAGTCCAAAGCTTGAAAGTTTAAGCACCATCACATGAAGCAACACAGGGGGAATTGCAATGCAACAGTACAGGACAGAAGCTGAAGACAACGCTTATCTTGGAGATCTGCCTCAGAAGATGATGAGTGTTGGCAAATAGATTTCTGAGTTGGCAACTGATTTCTAAGTGC